CGTTGGCTCTATTGCTAAGAAACATGGGAAATCTGTTACGCAAATAGCTTTGAGATATTTGGTAAGTAGGTATATTATTTAGTACGAGATTTACCCTAGCTTCACTCGAGTGCGTTCATAGATGTTTTTGTATTTATCTGTATTTGTACTGTATTTGTAACGTCATCTTAAGAACTGAATCGAATCTGTACATTAAATATTTTTTGGAAAATCTTATTGATATAGTCATTATTATCCATAGATGCCGAAACTATAGTTTTTAGAGTTTTTGTCTGTCTGTCGACCTGTTTGTGACCGCATCACGAGAAAACCACTAGACAGATATTGATGAAATTTGGTATGATGATGGCTAGTTGTCCGGGTCAGCATACATGATACTTTTTACTGTGGGAAAATATCTTATTTCTTAGAAATCACAGGTCGTAGTATATTAGTGTTAAAAATTTTACTCAAGCCAGTTCAGTCTATCCATTTCAGCCTAGGTCAGTAACAAACATACATACTCGTAGACTTTCACAATTATAATATTAATGTCATCTTTCATTCTAGTACCAACGCGGTATCTGCAGCATACCAAAAACATTGACCAAAAGCCGAATCATCGAAAACGCATCGATATTCGATTTTGAATTGGATTCTGAAGATTTATCGACTTTACAAAAATTCGATATAAACTATAGAACTGTGAATCAGCCGTTTTGGCAAAATATACAAAATTTTCCGTTTGATAAAGAAGAAATTGATGTACCGGAAATTCCTGAATTCCTATTGAAGTGGAAAAATGGTGCAAACCAAGATATTGATTGAAGAATTGAAACGTTGAAAGTGAGAAGAAAGGTTGAAGGATTGAAAATTAAATAAGTATATCTGTTATTAATATTTTCTTGTTATTTTTTTTTGAAACAATGACCCTTTTGATCAATGACAATGACCCATTTACAGGAGCTGAAAAAAAAGGGAAGTGCTAAGTAGATGTGTCGTGTTTGTCACAATCATGCAGAACAGCGCTTATTAAATGTCAGTCGTGTTCTAACATTGGTCAGCCAGTGAATCAGATTGAACGTCTTTTAATATTTTTAGTTTTCCACAACTTAAAAATTGAGGTGTTCCATACCATCGCTTAACATGATTATATGATTTTATTTGTTTTCTAAGTAAGCTTTGTTAATTTTATGATATAACCTAGACACAGAAACCGCGGCTTCGCTCGCGCTAATATTCATCCCCTATTTTACCCCCTAATGGGATAAATTTCAAAAAATGCTAAAAGTCGTATTTATTTCATTGTACTGAAGACCGTTAATACCAAGTTTCAAGTCTAATTCTGATGATGAATATTTTTTTGATTGTATTATAACGTATTTTCCCGTGGGAATGAGATAATCTCCCGCGCTAAAAAGTAGCCTATGTCATTCTCCGTCTCCAGCCCTCCAACCACTTCCACACAATAAATCCCGCCAATCCGTCAAAACGTCAACTGACTCACATTACGAACAAAATATTTTCAAAGGCCGGATATAAAAACTATCAAAGTACCTACGAAAATAATTTAAAGAAATTGCTTACATATAACTACGAATATAGTCTATTTTAACTGCCTCTGTGGTGTATTGGCTAGCACACCCGGAGGTCCTGGGTTCGAGTAGTCGTCCCACCGGAGTATGAGAGTGACAGGAATAGAGAGTGCACTTGTGTCTGCGCGTACACTTGTGCACTATAATATCTCCTGCGAAGTTGGCTAGTCTCAATGAGATTGGCCGCCGTGGCCGGAATCGGTCAGGAAAACATCATCATCAGACTATTTAACTTAAAAATAATGAAATAGAAGAGCGTGCAGAAGTTGTGATTGAAGCCTGAAATGGTACACAATATGGACTTTAGAAGCCTATTACACACACACACACACACACACATATATATATATATATATATATATATATATATATATATATATATATTTATATACATACTGGGCTACCGAGCTTCGCTCGGAGTTTTTGGCCTAAAATAGAATTTTCTTTATATATAATCTCTCCGGGGTGTCCTGGTGTTATTTACGATGAGCAACAAAATCCATGCCATCGTCTTGTTAAAAAAAACTGCATGTTAAGATAACATGGATACAGCTACAGATCTCCAGGTCTAGCCAATTCTAGGGTTTTTCAAATTTTCTTCACTATTTGTCAGCAACAAATTAGCAACAAATACTGATGTATAAACGCTTTTAATCCATGCCGGTCCCGTGAGTTTTTTGCTAGCTTAACGTTAAGATAGCAGTATTTTTTTTTAAATCGTAAAAAGTAATATCTGTATGAATAATTATTATTAGTATTTTAAACGGTTATTAACATGGACCTTTATTTTTTAGATGTCAACAACCAGTAGGTGCCTTTCGCCATTTATTTGTTAGAATACATGAAAATGAACTTTATTGCACATATGAATCAGGTATCTGATCCTATGTTATATTTCTATAGTCAAGGCTATCAAGTTAGGTTAGAAGCTATAAAAAATGACATTTGTTTTTGTAATTGCTAATTATAATACTTCCTATTGTCTACGGCTTCGTGGTTGAATTAATATCTCATCTAGAATTATCTAAACACAATAATTGTTTTACTATCCTGCGGGAAACATATTATTTTAGCAGAACCAAATATGCTGTATTTAAATTACATTAGGTAAAACTTTTTTAAATTTAGGGGAATATTTGACATTTGAAATGAAACTATCTTTTCGGATTTAACCCTGCACGTATGTATACGTGGTCTATCTTTTGTATACCTATCTATAATAGGTTTATTGCATAAAAATCTTAGAGGATATGACGTAATTCAAGATTAGGATGCATTACTTCGTATGTCTTTATTATATATTATATATATACGTATGTATTTATTCGTATGTCCCAAGGTCTCAAAATATCATTTTACCAAACATTTAAATCGGTTCAGTAGATCCAAAGATTACCCCCTACAACGTCACAAACTCACAACCTCACAAACCTTACCTCTTTATAATATTAGTATAGAAGTATAGATAAGAATTAAGTAACATAAAAAGCAATTAAAATTCGCTACATATGGCATATTAATTAGAAATGATTTTATCCGATTAATATCGATTTTGAATAAACTGTACATTAAAAGTGTGAAATTTGAATGTTTAATATACTATAACTTAAGCCCTTTCAAGTTTTAATGTCCTCCTGCTATGTACGATATTCCTCTTGCCTCTTAATGCGACAGAGATCAGACTATAGCCCACCACGCTCGCCAAGTACGGATTGGCGGGCTTCACGTGTCTTTCGAAAATTTGCTAGATTCTCTCAACATACTTCTTTAAGATATTTTCTTTTACTGTAAAGCAAGTAGTTGAAAAATAATTCAAAACTACATGACCACCCTGTGGTGTGAGATCTGGGGTTTGAGGTATACAGACAAACAGACTTTTCACAACTGGGGTATTATTCAAAATATTATCATTATTCTTAATATCAAAACCGTTGAAAAAAAACTCATTTCAATTTATCGAGCTGTTAATTTTTATTTTTTAGTTAAAAGTTGTGTTAATTTTTAAGTGAAAATATAAATTAACTACGAGTACATCGTATGTCCTTTTTATTCATATTCAAGGCTGCATTTTTTTAAGTCGCTAGTATCACTACATACTATAAAATAAAAGTCCCCCCGCCGCATCTGTTTGTCTCAATGTGAAAACTCAAGAAAGGTGTATAATAAGGGGTTTGTAATTTGATTGATATAAGACGACGATTGTTGAATATTATGTCGGAAAAAATAATGCGGACTGGGGCCTTTATAGGCGTACGTCGCGTAAACCAATAGTAATAGATTTAATAGTTGTATGTGCAACTTTTAACTAAAGGAAGTACCTGCATTAGATTTAAAGTTCCCAAACCTTTGATAATTTTAATCTGTACTAATATAATAATATTACATTAAAAATTTAAAATACCCCCTACGCAAATTAATTGTCATTTAACGATTACACTGGCACGCGTGAAGCACTTAATCGAGTAATCATACGCCAAAATGCCTTACATCATTTTCGAAAAGAGTTGATACTCTTACACTACTGGACCGATATTAAATAAACATATCTAAGAATCACCGCAAAAAAAACTGGTATTCAAATGAAAAAACCGCATCGAAATCGGTCCATTCGTTTGAGAGCGACGATGCCACAGACAGACAGACACACACAGACAGACAGACAGACATCGACGTCAAACTTATAACACCCCTCTTTTTGCGTCGGGGGTTAATAAATAGAAACTAATTGAAAGCGGTAATCTCTGGATCTACTGGTCCGATTTGAAATATTCTTTTTGCGTTTTATAGCCTATTTATTGAGGAAGGTATAAGAAATCAAATAAGGTATAAGATATCAAATAAGGTATAAGATATTTGAACAGTTCCAATTTTACATAAAACTAGCAACATGCCTTCGTCCATCCTTAGGTACGTTTTAAATAGATATAAATAGTTATTGCGAATGTACCTACCTTAGGAGAAACACATCGTGTAAGTACCGTATATAATTTTATATGCATTTAGTAAAAATCTGTTATTTTAATACCTCCAGGTAAATTTCTAAGAAATTAATTAAATTTCTAAGAAATCTATAATTGTTAACTGTAACACCGGCGTGTCCGCGGTAGTGGAGGGATTAACATTACAAACATACACTTCAATTGTATTTATCTGTATAGATGCTTTTCTATACAAGAAGCTATAAACTGCCTTACATCCTTACGATCTATGGAAACGTGCTCCGATTTGCATAATTAATCGACACGAGCGAAGCAGCGAGAAAACGCCAGTATAACATATGGACGTATAGCTTTAAGAAACACTGCCCTATCATACTTGAACAGTTGCAACTTTATATGAAACTTGAAAAACTAGTTAGGCGTTCTCTCGAGTAAGTCGACGATAATATTCGTAGATCATTAATGTAGTTGACGTTGATCGCGAAGGATGTTCCGCTTTGCAATACTCGCTGCTGTGGTCGGGAGCTGCGTAAGTACCCATTTATATAATTATGTTGATAGTAGCAACTTGCATTCCTTTCACTATATTCTTAAGTGTTTTTGGTATTTATAATATTTAGGCCATATTTTGGCAAATTTTATTACTAGCTATAGTCTATTTGTTACTCTAGGCCATAGTATGTTTGTGTAAATTTCATTCAAATCTGTCCAGCCGTTTTAGAGTAAAAGCCTAACTAATAAGTACAAGCTTTTGCGTTTGTAAAGGTTTAGTGTGAAGTTATATCGTCAGGCCAATGACCTTGTATAATAAGTATAGTACCTGGGCTACCGAGCTTCGCGCGGAGTTTTTGGCCAAAAAAACATTGAAGAAAAAACAAACTAAAAATTTGAATAACTACAAAAACAAACAAAAATAAAAACTTTGTATCCGACCGCAATACGAACTCTGGTTGTCAAACTAGCGCCTCGGCCGCTTGACCACGATGCTTATGTATGCTAAATTTCATGAAAATCGATCAGATATATATATATATATATATATATATATATATATATATATATATATACATATATATATCTGATCGATTTTCATTAGAACCTATGAAATTGTGAACAAAATCCGGGTACATAACAAATTACACACGAGTGAAGCGAGGGCAAGTCACTAGTCTATACTAATAAATGAAGAGCCGATTTTTTTGTTCGCTTATACTGCGATAACTACTGAACCGATCGGAATAATACTCATACCAAGATGCAGGGTGTTTGAGAAGGTTTTAGTATATGATATGTTATTAATGCACTATGCGGGTGGAGCCGCAGGAAAACGCTAGTATGTCATAGAGGCTAGAAGATATTAAGGCTACAAACGTTCTAAAGCATAATCCTTAAAAAAAAACAAATGAAATCATCTTCAAATAAACCATCAGTCTAAAAAATTATTCTGGAATAGTCGAAAACAAGATTTACTAACTAACATTTTCATATCTAGGTTTCCTTTCGTTTTTGCGGAAATAGCAGACAGTCCCTATTGTTACTAATATCATCTGTGGTCGAATTAAGACCAATTTTGCCCGTGAGTACCTACAGACGTTTAATAGTTGTTTTTATTGATATTTGTGTGTGTGTGTGTAATTTCCTCGAAACTTAATTCTTTAATTTTAAATTTATGTTTTTTTTATAAACGAAAATCACTATACAAGCTAAACAAAAAAAATATGATAACTTTTTTAAGATACCTCATCAGAACGAAAACATTTTAAAGCTAAGTGACTAGCTATGTGACGTCATCGCAAATTGCAAAAAATTATAAATATCTATCAATTTTTAATAAATTTGTAAATAAAGCCTTCATCCAATTTAATAAGAGGTGAAGTACCTAATCGGTCAAAAGATATACCATAGACTAATCATAATTTCCTCCCGACCGATGTCAGCCACGGCGGCCAATTTCACTGAGAATAGCCAACTGCAAGAGATACTCGTATTATAATGCACACGTGTTCGCACAGTCACAACGTGCACTCTCTATACCTGTCGTTTTCAAACTTCGATGGAACGATACTTTGACACGACCGCTGAGAGATCAGGCGCAGGACCAACGTCTTTGTATTCTCCGAGGCACATAGATAAATTACACACCGCCAACTTCCCAACCCCGGGGTGTTACCGAGAATTTATTACCAAAAATATCACTAACTAAACTTGGCCCGACCCGGGGCTCGTACCCTAGAATTTCGGATCTGCGGGCGTACATGCTAGCCACTAGACCACCGAGTCAGTTAATTTAGACCACGTAGTAATTAGAAATGATAACGAATGTCTCATGTCAAGGTAACAATTATTTCTCACTAAACTCACGCAACTTTATATCTTAAACATTTTTTGTTTTTATCGTACCTACCTTGGTGGTTTTAATTGCTGAACGGATTTGGATGAAATTTGATATGCATGATAAAAATGGCTAGTTTACTATATTTTTAATAATTTATTATTATCATCATACCTTTAGCCCCATGCAAGTGTCGAACCCGCGATCTTCTGTGACGCAATAAACAAAATGAAATATACACTTGAAACACTCCGCCACGATAAGCGTTGATTAATATTAATATTACCTATAAATATAATATACTGGCGACTCACCCTCGCGTCGCTCGGGTTCGTCCCTAGCTTGCTTCCCCCAACAAACTTTCCTTAACGAAAGGGATGATTTCCGAGAATATTCATATCATTAGATTTAAAAAAAAACTTCTTTTAGTATTTTTTTGTTTTTAATTTTATTCTATAAAAACTTGTCCTAACAATAACAAACACAAAAAAAAGAATTATCCAATTTGGTGAAGAAGAATTTGGTGAGAAGTTATGTATGTACATACACTTCAGATATTAATTTTTATTTATTCTATATAAGATGTTAGCCGATGGCTCCTGAATACATTATACAGCATGTGCCTAATTATAATTTAAAATCTCATTCCGAACCAATCTCGATTTAATAATACATGCTGATGTTTACGATACAATAAAAAAATTCATTAGTTGTAGAACCGACATTTTAATGTGTTTAGACTTTAGTTGATAACCGCATGCCGCGCGTGGCGACTGGCAATCTTGCCTCCATTAGTCATATGAGTTGTGATCTTGCGATCGTCGAGTGACCTATTCCCATCGTCAGGTATACCAACCCATTACAATACCTTACGCTCTCCGAGTAGACTCCGGCCTGGAGCGCACTCAAGCATCGCAGATTTGACAACCTCGTCAGTAATATAAATTGGCAACACGCTCAATTCTACCAGACACGATAAATAACAATTGACCAAGGTAGACATTTGCTTATATGATATTAATAAGCAGTTTTTATTTTAGTTTATTTATAGAAATTATATTATAACTAGCAGAAGCCGCGACTTCGATCGCGCTAAAAATACAAAAAAAAACTAAAATGGTAGGTTTCATACAAAATTTCATCCGCAATTTTATGCCCTTATGGGATGAATTGCGAAAAATGCTAAAACACGTATTTAATTAATTGTATTGAAGAGCACTTATACCAAGTTATTATTTTTAAGTTAAATATTTTTTTGGATTGTATTATAACGTGTTTTCCCCTGGAAAAGAGATGACGTCCCGCGGTAAAAAGTAGGTTATGTCACTCTCCAGCTCTCCAACTATCTCTACACAAAAAATCACTTTGTTTGTTTTGTGTTAATATACTACATTTGTTGTGTTAACACCTAAAAGTGAAATAAAAACTAAAAATAAAATATTTAGCCGTTACTATTATATAAGAAAAAATGTTAGAAAAAAACTCAATGTTCCTTAAGTTTCGCAAAATTTAAGTTTTGATTGTATATTCTATTTTAGATGTGCGATGAGAATGATGGTGGAAAAGCGCCAAGGCTGCCTTTAAATGATGGAAACTCTATCCCAGCTCTAGGTCTCGGAACATTTTTGGGATTTGACGAGGTAAATATACTATACTAAAACATAAAGCTTAAAAGCTTGTTTTTTTTAATTTGCCTTACCAGTAATCAGTCCGATTAAAAGAAATCTATTTACTGTTTATAGCCTATTATTTAGGAAAATTATACCTACTGTTCTCGTTTCCGCTCGTGTAGTTTATTTATGTACGCAAATGATGTTAGATAAAGGTTGATCAATCAACTACCTTGATCAATTTTATACTATAATATAAAGTTGAAGAGTTTGTTTGTTTGTATGCACGTGCTAGTTTCTGATCCTACGGGTCTTATAAAACTTAATAAAATATGGTCGATTATTAACGGGACGACTACTCACTGTTAAATCTAGTGGTTAGTTACAACAGAATGGATAACCCGAAAATATCCTCTCATATACCCATATGTAGGTACCAATTTTTATTGCAATCGGTTAAACGTTGAAGCAGTTGCGCAACAGCGCCATCTAGGGCGAGTTATAGCAACATGGATAGCATTACACCATCTCCATGTAAAAAACTTTAACACCCGTTTGTGTACATTTAGCATTTTCTCAGCAGAACTGCTTTTCAAGCCAGTGGAACATTCCGGCACATTCCTCAAGGACTTACATACTAACTTTCAATATTAAAAAAAAAAGTCAAACGAAATCAAAAGTCTATTTGAATATAGTATATTTTGATTTGAAATAGATTAAACAAAAAATGTTGCATATTGCCTTAGTAATAAACTTTTTCAGCACGGTCAAAAAGAAGTAAAGCCGGGTGACACAGAACTGCCTGCTTCTTGGGCTTTGAATGCTGGATACAGGTATTACTTCTCCATCACTAGCTTTTAACCATAACTTCACTGGTGTGGTAACTGGTAGCTATATCGAAAATTAATTTAAAAAAAAAACAACTTTATGGGTTAACTGTTGCATGGAACCTTTGAAGTATTAACTATGTACTATTAATTAAAAAAAAATATGAAAATGGATCCACAATTGATGCAGATAGCAAGTAATGAAAAGGACGAATTGAGTACCTTCTCTTTTTGAAGTCGGTCAAATCTATATCCATATATCATCATATATGTCGGTTATCTATCTTCATTTCGAACTTCACACCAATCTGTTTAGTCATTAGAGCATGAATAGGTAACAAACCAGCAATTAATTACTGGTAGCTTGATTTACGACTTATCCTTGCTTTGCTCAGGTATGTCCATAATGCTATGCTAATGCTAATAGATATTTAATCCATACTATTATTATAAATGCGAAAGTAACTCTGTCAGTTATTTTTTCACGCTTAATCTGCTGAAGCGATTAGGATGAAAGGTATGGAGATAGTTTGAGATTTTGGGTAGGACATAGGATAGTTGTTATCCCGGAAATTACCCCTTAAGGAGGTGGAAGTTCGTATGGGGAATCAATCATTTCTCAAGTAAGGGATATAAAACTCATCATACGAGTACCTATGTATTTATTATGGCCTATTTATTCCATACTAAGCATCCAAATTTTTTGATAAATTAAAAAAATTATTGAAAATTGATTTTGCCGTATGATTTATTATTAATAGAAGCCCACATTTATAAGCCATACATAAAAATACAACTCTATTAAAAACATCATCTTAAAAATTGTTACTATACAAAAAAACTTTGCAAGCCCTCGCAAAGCTGTGGTTCTTGCTAATTACAAAAGCCCATGTGTTACTCCAGATTAAAATCTGTTTTTGTACTAAATTTCATCCAAATCAGTTCAGCTGGTGGTTCAGCGTGAAGGAGTAACAAACATACAGACGTACACACACATACAAACTTTAGAATTTATTTATAGTGATCCTATGTCATTTTCAGATTAATAGATACAGCTTCTATATATAATAATCAAGATCAGATTGGTTCGGCAGTACGTAAGTCAGGCATACCCAGAGAACATGTATTCGTCGTTTCAAAGGTAACGAAAACTATATCTATACTAATAGATGAAATAAATGCTGTCTGTGAATTTGAAATTGTGACAATATATTGACCATGTATGGTTTTTAACACTGCACAAAAACTGGTAATACCTTGTACCCAGCGCTGAACTTACACTAGGGGCCCAGGGCGGCAAATTTTTAAGGGCGACGAAATTCGGAGGGTTAGAAAAAAAAAATTTCCCAATTATTATTCCGCTTTTTTTCTAAGAAATGATTAAATACAAAAAAATTACTAGGACATTTTTCGAAAATTAGTAATGATTTATAAATTATTTTTTGCATTTTTCAAAAAAATTACAATAAAAAAAATTAAACTTTATCAAAACTTCGTCCATTTTATGCAAAACTTCGATAATAGGGCGACATTTTTTACTATGCCTAGGTGCGGCGCTAAAGTTGAATCCGGTACTGCTTGTACCCCCTTACCTCTGGAACGGCTGAGCCGATTCAAATGGTGTTTTCAATGATGGATAGAATATATAATTTATTGAACACAAGGGTAAACACCCTTGCTTCGCTCGAGTGTTCCAAAGTGCCTGGTCTAACAGTATACTTCAACCCAATCCAATTAGCTTGTTAAACCAAGGGAAAGGTGAGTGAAGCGAGGTTAACTTTTCTCTTTATAGTAGTAAAATGTTTTAGCTCGGGATCAACGAGCAAAGGACAGTGATACCAGCTTTGAAGAACACTCTGGCACAATTAAACATGTCTTACGTGGACCTGTACCTCATACACTTCCCAATAGCTTTTAAGGTAGGTATTTTAAAAATTAAATAGTTGTTTTAGGGGCCCGTTGTTGCTCAGTTATTTCAAGTATGGTATAAAAACGATTCTCTTTGAAGGAAGGAGCACAGCTACACAATTCGTTAAAAAGTAGCCTATGTCACTCTTCAGCCTTTCAACTATCTCCACACAAAAAATCACGCCAATTCGACACTCCGTTTCGACGTGAAAAAAGGACAAATAAACAAACAAACAAATATATAAACAAACAAACATTCAAACACACTTTGACATTTATAATATTAAGTATGGATAACATATTTTTTTTTTATTTACAATCATCCAGCCAGATCACAGTGGGTACGATGTAGTAGATTACTTGGATACATGGAAATCGATGGAAGAAGCTAAAAAGATGGGTTTAACGAAGTCTATAGGCATTTGCAATTTCAATATCAGCCAAATGGAGCGATTATTGGCGAACTGCGAAATTAAGCCGGCCGTTTTACAAGTGGAGGTATGTTGGTTTAGCTCGCATATAATATAGAAATAAAAAATGTTTGCTGTGTATAATTGTAGGTCTCCCAACCCGCACTTGGCTAGCGTGGTGGGCTATGGCTTGATTCTCCTCGAATTGAGGGACACCTGTGCCCAGCAGTGGGTCATTAAAAAGGGTAAAATGAATGAAAAAGAATTAATGTATAATTAACCTTTTTATTATCCCTATGCTGAGCGTGGACCTTCGCTCAATGCGAGGAGGATTAAGCCGTAGTCCACCACACTGGATAAATATAGATTAGTGGATTACACACGTCTTTCTAAATCTAATTATATTCTCTGACATGCAGCAAGCCCTCTTCATTTCGTTTTGCAAGAGAATGCTTATTTAATCTAATTTGCCGGACATCCTGTGTGCATCCTGCACTTGATTCGTAACACCTCTATTTTCTTTTCAGGTCAATCTAAATATGGCTCAAAACAAATTACTTCATTTTGCGAAAGAAAATAACATACAAGTAATGGCGTATACGCCTTTTGGATCTCTCTTTTCAAAAAGCTCAACCCCTCCACCCCCTAGAGCTGATCACCCCACCCTTTTGAATTTGGGAAAGAAATACGGCAAATCTGCACCACAAATTGTTTTAAGATATCTGGTAAGTGGTAATACTAATAAGTTTAAATTTTATCATACGCAGTTAATATGCGTCTGATTTAAATTAAGGTAAAATATATTTTTTTTTTACTTTAATGCTTTTGAATTAAGCCTATATTAATATTTTTTAATGTAATTTCTTTTTGATTTAGAAAATAATTATCATAAAGGTGCAAAAACAATGCAATGTGACGTCAGAATATATTATAACAGAGCGATTAGCGATTTTGTCACATACAAATTGAGTAGTAATTTCTCTGTGTATATCATACTGTGACGTCACACCAAGCGCGCGGAATGGCGAGTGTTTAAAGTATCCGTAACGGTATCATATTTTAATTTTTTCTGCTAAGTTTTAGGTTTTTGGAGCTGGATATTTTTTTACGATTACTACATATATAACGATGTAAGCTAATGTATAAAAAATCATGCATATTCCCTATTAAGTGAAGTGACTTTTTGACATAGTTTTATAATAACATGTTAGCATTGTGGGGGTGGACTTATATAATTCTGATTTAAATGAGAGTTTTGTATATTTTATGCAGTTCATATGTGAGTACTTTTAGGGTTCCTTGGCCAATAGGTAAATCGGAACCCTCATAATTTTAAAAGTCAAAATAAAAATCCGTAATGATAATTTTATTTAACACTAGCGACTCACTCTCGCTTCGCTCGGGTTCGTCTCTAGCTTGCTTCCCAAACATCTAAATCGGTTCAGTAGATCTGGAGATTACCCTCTACAACGTCACAAACTCACAAACTTCACTCTTTATAATATTAAGTATATTACTTACATTTTACTTATAGGTTCAACGAGGTGTCGTGCCAATCCCAAAATCGACTAAAAAGGAACGAATTGAACTGAATATAGATATATTCGATTTTGAATTGACATCTGAAGAAATGGATACATTGAGTACGTACTATGATAATATAATACAAGTATTTTGTATCTGAAAATATATTTGCTATCTTTTCGAGGCCAAAGCACTGAACTAATTTAGATAAATTTTTACAACGAAAAAGATAAATTAATCAGTTTCACTTATAACTTTTTGTTATAATTAGAGTATCGATTGAATATTTACAAGTATGTGCCGATGTAATTATTCAAAACCATCGAGGTGACCTAATGATGGAGCCAGGAGGTTGATAGTGGAACTCCTTAATAGCTAGGGAAATTGTCGAGTAAGGGCTTTCTATTATTCGACGACCCCACACGTTATAGTTGGTTGAAAACTTATTTTAAACTTTAAATAATAATCAATAAAAATACATATATAGATGCATTTATTATGACATGCAAACCTTCCAGAAGAAATTATCTACATGAGAGTAAAAATCATGTCAAAACCGACTGAATGTATAGAAAGAAGTAAACGCACATACAGACACACAAAAATAGAGACTTTATTGTTTACAAATAAGTTATAATAAATCCTTATGATTTATTTGTTTGTAGGTAAATTCAACCAAGATTACAGAGTAGTGTGGCCTAGCTTTTGGCAAGATCATCCATATTATCCGTTTGAGAAGAAAGATGTACCAGATCCAGATCTGTTCAAAGGAGGAGAATAATTGGAAGCGCAAAATTATCAAATAAATAAATGTATTAAAAAACTTTTTGCTCTTTTTACTTTTTAACGCGGCTTTTTTATGAGTTTGCATGTATGTATGTTTGTCCACGCATTTCTCCGAAGCTAGTAATCGGATCGTGATCATTATTTTTTTATTTGGTTGCATTTATTTCAACTTAGAAAATAGTTAAGATTTCATCAAAATCGGTTTAGTATATTTTATGACATGGATTTAATGTATATATAATCTATATAGTATATTATAAAAATGAGCATTTCTCCAGGAGAAATTCTCCTGGCCACGCTATAATAACTTGAGAACGGCTTTACCGATTTCATTCATCTTTTTTAATCCTTCATAGAAGGTTCTTACATTGAAAAGAAATTAAGAAAATTGCGCAGAAACTTAGAAAATGGGAATGAATGTGTGAGAGATAGAGAAGCTCAAAACTAGCTAGGGACGAACCCGAGCGAAAGCGAGATTGACCGTTGGGACTGGGCGGTGAGTCACTAGATAGAGATTAATATAAGTCCCATTACTAAAAGTAAGAGAACTTTATGCAAAAATAAAACGGAACCCTTATAGGATCCGTCCGTCTGTCAGCGAATTGATGTTTCGAACTTGTACTTATACTTCGCAGTGAACGTAACGATAGCGCGATGCAAAAACGATCAACGCCATCTGTTGACGGAGAGCAAAAACCAAATGAAATATATATATTATATTACTAGCATTGCCCGCGGCTCCGTCCGCGTTCAGATGACCAAAAACCCAATTCTTAGTTAGTTTAGGTTTTACATATTTGTGTACTCTTACATTGCAGTTTTTGTGTTTTTTCTTAGAAATTAGATATTTTCCCGCGGTAAAAAGTATCCTATATGTTGACCCGGATAATCAGTTATCACCATACCAAATTTCATCAAAATCCTTCCAGTGGTTTTTCTGTGATGCGGCAACAGACAGACAGACAAAAATTCTAAAAACAATAGATTCGGCTTCTGTTGTCGATAACAATGTTTATTTCAATAAGATTTTCCAAAAAATATTTAATGTACAGATTCGGCTTTATTACATGTATAAGTAGATATGTATGTGTTGAAATGTTTGATGGCTTTTTTTGTGTTCAAAACTTTCGAGTGTGGTCTCAAAATTAAGTTAGGCTTTTACGCAGTCGGGTATTTTGTTTATGTAATATTTTGTTTTTTTTTTATTATGAGTGTTTTCCTGAAGAATTGAAAATAAAAAAAAAATAAAAAAAATGTTGCATTGTATTGTCTTTCACCTTTAAATATTATAAAACTATTTTAAGTTAAAAATGAAACTCAATAATGCATTTTTCCTACCAAATTAAACATTATGTAATAAATTATTTGTTATAAATGACAATAGGTTAATTTGTTACTTAAACATTTTTAAATAAATGCATTTAGTACTAAATGAAAATGATTTAAAAAGTGCATGACGATAACGACTCCATTTAAATAAGAACAGAGTCATGATATTATACGTCTAAGTACAGGAGTTTGTAATATACTGTTCTTATAGCAAATAAGGGACGATTAAATTTTGTCGTTTAGTAATATTGATGTCTGTGAAGTAAAAAAAAACAAATTAAATAGAAGTCAAATAATCCTCTTTATATTTTGTAGTATATATGTATTACAAAAAATATCAATTACCTACCATTTTTACTTCTCGTAAATTCCATCCTTTTTGAATCTAATTGTGTACCTTCAAAAGTTAAGTTCTAAAAGTTTTTGTATATCAATGTTAAAAGTATAAGTAATTAAAAAAAGTCTCATAAGAAAACTATAAAATAGTTAATAATAGGTTCTTACGTCAAACTTTCATAATTTTACTAATTATCAGAAGCTAACAGAATCTGAGGCTTTGCTCAAGCTAAAACTACAAAAAAAAACTCTATTAAAGATAGGTTTCATACAAAGTTCATACTGTCATCACCCATTATACCCCCTTATGGGATTGAATTTCGAAAAATGCTAAAATACTATTTATTTAATTATATTGAATAGCATTAATACCAAGTTTCTAGCAACTCTGATGATAAATAATTCTTAGCCCATATAAACTTTATCATCCCCTATAAGAGATGAATTTCGAAAAAAAATCAAATAAATATATTTCTTTATTTTTTATCTCAAAGCTATACACACACTACTTTTTGTGTATTTCACATTAAAAATGACAGAGTTTCATACAAACTTTAAGCTCCTATTTTACCCACTTAGAGGTTAAAATTCGAAAAATCCTTTCTTATCGGATGCCTACATCATATAAGGAATACGTCCTCCAGATTTCACGTTTCTACGACCAGCGGTTTAGGCTGTGTGTTGATCCATCAGTCACCTCTCCTTCTAAATTCTTCCTTTAGCTGGTCTTACTTCCTGGTACAATACATTGCACAGGTAAGATGCGAGCACAGTTGAAGCAAAAACCAGGTACAAAAAAGATATCACAATAAATTGTTTAACCTCAGACTGAATGTAAATCAACAAATCAAAAAAGATCATACGTTAGCTAGCATAGTTTTCCTTTCAAGAAATCTTCCCCATTATCTAATCATCTATAGTCATTCTAAACGTGCATGCAACAGCTCAATCGGTTGAGGATATAATAATAATAATTCGAGGACAAACGAAAAGGTAACGTTCGAGCAAGATCTGTCAATTCCGCTAGTAGTATTATATAATCTGTGACAGATAAAGAAATATAAAAGAAAAACACTTATAAAATCGATTATTTATTTATTTTAGTAATTACTTTTAAGGACACTTTCTTTCGAGCTGCCCTTTACCGCCTTCGTCATACTCTTGCGAAGAAATCCACATCTGTTGGAAAGATCCAATGGACGCTAATATTGAACCTCCTGAAAATGTTAAAATAATATGTTATATTGTGTAATTTACTACGTTTCTCAGAAAAGCTATAGATAGTGCATTTTTCCAGAAAAGTAATTATACAGATAAACTTAAAAAGCGAAACCTTATCTAAATACAAAATTTGATCCAAATCGTTAGGGCCGTTTCCCAGATACACGAAATTTTATATTATATATGTATACAAGAATTACTCATTTAATATTATAAGATATTGTTGACCACTAATTTATTTCTTCCATTTGGTTGTAGAAAAAATATTTTTCATGTATTAACTTTGCCATATTATTTCACATTTAAAAAAATGTTTGTTAGCAGTTCTGTTACAAATGAAATATATATATACTCAAAGAGTATTTTTAAATTCGAAAATATAGAAATAGCGAAAAATCGCGGGACCGATTTTGATGTAACATAAAATTGCTGTATTGTATTTTAGAAAAACTAAGATGATAAGATATTTTTATCAATAATGATGCAAATTGATAAATCTTTTTTATTGTCGGGGGATATTGCTAACGTGGGTTGTGTGGTATATCGGAGATACGTATAGCAACAGATCGTCGCCTTTATGTGTAAATTGAATTAGTTTCGGGGGATGTTTGTAACGTCGTTAGATTATGTAAGTGTGTGGGGGACGTGTAGGATGTATATTGTGTGGGTGTGTGGGTATGTTCTCGCGTGTGTATATATATATTAGTGGCTATCTTCATTGTGTAGTAAGCCAGTAGTATTTCAAACCATCATTTCACAGAGGGAATCCCCTCCTTCTTAAGCCGATGTACTGATGTATGTATGTATGTGTGTGTTTGTGTCGATGAGTAAAGAGTGTATGGGTATATTCGGGTGCGACGGTATATATGTATGTATTCAGCCGTTTTCAACGTCCCACTGCTGGGCACGAGCCTTCCTTCAGTACGAGTAGAATCAGGCCATAGTCCACCACGCTGGCCAAGTGCGGCCAAGACTTCACATATCTTTTGAAAACTTGCTAGGTACTCTCAGACAAGCAGGTTTCCTTACGATGTTTTCCTTCACCGTTAAAAAGTTAAAGTGGTAATCACGTTGGGAATGATTCGCACATGAAAATATCAGAGTTGCGAGACCGGGGATTTGAAACCGCTTCATTCGGTTTCCCAAGCGAGCGCGTTACCACTGTTCGGTATATGCAGCCCGTGTGTATAGTTGTGCGGGTGTTGGTGTGACTCACCTATCCACGCGGCGAAGCGTCTCTCCGCGCTGGCGGGCGGCGCGCCCACCTTGAGCCGGTGCGCGGAAGGCGCGCGCGCCGCCAGCTCGCGCGCCACACGTTCCAGCCACCCGGACGCGCACGCCGCGCCGCCGCACGCCGCCACCGCGCCCCACAGAGCCGCGCGCGTGTCCGCGTCGCACGCCGCCGCCGCCGCGCACGCTGACACACATATAATAATTGTTATATATATATTTATTTATGTGTGTTGGTAAATTAAACAAAAAATAGTGTCTGTAATGTGTACACGCGCAAGAAGTAAAACTTCTGTAGGTTATCGGTACTCTTTATGAAATTCAATTTATGTTTTAAATAATTATAGGTCACTAATAATAAATCACTAGTTATCCAATATATTTTCTAGGCTACTTAATCTCATTGAAACTAGCCATATACGAGTATATACAGTAGATATGTTATATTACACAAGGTGGCTAAAACCATACCAATAACTATAAAACTAAATTTAACATAATACAATTTCACCACACAACACTTTCTTAGATTTACGCTAATATTTAACAACTATCTTTTCGGATTTTTTCGCGGATTTATTACGATTTTTGGTTCCCGACCTTTCGAATGCTCTACATCGCAATGGTCACGGGAGATACTAAGGTTTTAGACGTCACAAACGTCACTATAAAGTTGTTACAGACAGTGCCTACCCTGTTGTACAACTATTTGGACAGTGTTCATCTTAAAAGGTAATGAATGTAAAACTTATAATAATTGTACTCATATATACCATTGTAATTACCACTTGTGAATATAACCTACACGTATAACAAAATTCTGAATTGAATCTGTACATTAAAAAATTTTTTGGAAGATCTTATTGAAATAGTCATTATTATCGATACAGAGGCCGAATCTATAGTTTTTAGAATTTTTTTTTGACTGTCACGAGAAACTCACTTTCACTGGACAGATTTTGATGAAATTTGGTATGATGATAGCTGGTTATTCGGGTCAACATATAGGAATAGGATATTTTTTACTGCGGGAAAATATCTCATCTAATAAATCCATACTAAGTATTAAAACGTTAACTGTTATAAGTAAAATAATAAATGAATGAGAGAGTAAGCGAGCAAGCGAACGACTGAGTGAGTGAATGATTAAATTTACGAATTAATAAAGAAATATATATCAGACAAAACACAACAGTGTCATCTTACCAAGATGCGGAGCTCCTAGGTTCTGTTCGAACAGACACTCGGTGAGCTTGAACCTCTCGGGGCCGAAGTCCTGGTGGTAGCCACCTGGGAACTCGTAGTGCATGCCCGGCACGGCGGCCACAGCGCGCTCGTCGTACACCTGCTCCGATACCTGGTAGTGGACAGGATATAAATCTACTCATCTACACATACAGATAAATAAAATTGCGACATTAACACACAGCACCATCTAGTTCCATGGTAAGCTACGAGGCTCATGTTATGGATACCAGATAGTTTATACACCACCATATAATATAACTTTAAATATATACGTATTATAAATATAAACACCCACGACTGGAGAACAAACATTCGAACTCATCACACAAATGAATGCCCCCAGCGGGACTTGAACCCGCGACCGCTGGCACAGCAGGCCTGCAAATACGAGGGAGACCAGACCATAGTCCACGCTGGATAAGTACGAAAAATCTTCACATGTCTGCAAAACTAACTTGCCGACACTCGAACCCGCAACTGCTGACACAGCAAGTGGGGTCACTACAAACTGAGGCAAATGTGTCGTCACAATTATGGCAAAAATGTTGTCAAACCCTTGTAGGGTTGTCATAAAAAGCAATTTTCATCACGGTTCTGAAGTTAAAGCTGTCCTAAAGCTGTTTCCCGAATGTCATATAAAAGTATCTATGAAAGTAGGGAGCGCCTCCACTGACAGCTCGCACTTGCACATGAGTATTTCTATTGCCGCTATAACAACAAATAATAAAAAACCAAAATGGCGAATTTCAAAATGGTCGCCATTAGTACATAGTACATCTTGTACGATGGTACGGAACCTTGTCGTGTGTGAGTCCGACTCGCACTTAACCGGTTTTTTATATGTAATACCTGAGCAACGCAATGCACGAAGTCCTCATACTGTCGTTTCAGCATGTACTGCTGCCAGGAGACGGTCAGGCCGGCCGGTAAAGTCTTCAGTGTGTAGCGAGCTCTTTCCCTTTCCCTTATAACTTCTTTACTCTGAAATTACAAGCTTATATTTAACTTGCAATGTTTGTATATATGTACAAGTGTATGTATATTTGTTCGAATCAAATCTTGCAATTGAATTTTAAAGCAGTTATCCTCAACCGATTGAGTTGAAGTTTTGTATACGCGTTTACTTTAGATGACAATCCATGGTTAGCTACGACATTCTAAATACAATATGGCCGATTTACAAGGATGGCGGACAATGTTTTTTTATGCACCCTCATGACATGGATATCAAATGAAAGGGTTTGGCTGAGAAGAATACGAATAACTTTAAATTAAATCAAACCTATCAATTTAGTACTCGTTGCGCGATTCGCCTGTGTAGATAAACAGGATTTTTTTTTTTAAATAATGTATTTTATTTAAACAAAAGCTTGTTTTTAAGTTTTTATGTATATATATAAAAGTATATTTTAATTGTGCTGTCTTTTGTCGAAAGTTCAAGGTTTATATATATGAAAAACAAAAACAAATCTATCCCACGGGAAGCGTACATTTTTCCGGGATAAAAAGTAGCCTATGTGTTATTCTGATGTATGAGCTATATTATTGTAAAGTTTCATTGAAATCCATTCAGTAGTTTTTGCGTGAAAGAGTAACAAACATCCATACATCTATACATGCAGACATCCTCACAAACTTTCGCATTTATAATATTAATTAGGACTTACTTACTTTTTTACATGTTATAATTTCATATAGTTTCATGATCTACTTTTACCAACCAATCACCTTCTTGTCTTCTTCATTCTACGCGACATTGACGAAGTAATCTGTGCTCAATTGGCACGCTTCCAGCGTTAAACAAGTTAACAAGATAATTGAATTGAATCTCACCTGTATACTGTAGACGGGTAACATCTGTATGTGCAAGTTATTCAACATGTTTTTGGCCTGAGCAACGAGGTGGTCTCCTCCCACCGGGGACCGGACCGCTGCACTAACTAATGCATAGCTGTAACAGTAAAAAATAAATATTTTACTAGGTAATTATTATATATTATTATTATTTTGAGCAGAACCGTAATTATTTTTCTAGAATAAAACTAGCCTAAGTTACTTCTTATAATATCAACTATCTGCCAGTAAAAGTCCCGTCAAAGTCAGTTTAGCCGTTTCGGAAATTAGTCGGAACAAACAAACAGAAAGACAAAATTTTAAAAAATTCCGTATTTTTATTAATATCATATATAGTTTCATATGTATTTAGTAAAAAGTTTTAATTTCAGCATTACAAACAAGCACACATACAACACACATATTGATTTATCTGTATATATTATTATACATATGTAATGGACCATGGTATATAAAAACTTTTGAAATACCCGAATATTTAGGTAATGTAGAAAAGGTCGTGTAATGCTTACAAACAGTGAATTGAGCGACACAAAAATATACTAGCATCACTCCTTGATACCAACAATAGCGTAGTTCACTTCAATAGAACTTAACTAGCCACAATCATCATCACATAAAAATCTCAACCAAGGTATATATAATAATTTCTTAGATTGACGCGAATATTTGATATTTTAAATAAAACTATCTGAGAGTCTCGTTACCGTGATTGCTGTAAAGCATTCGACATGTCGAGGATCAAAACTTAAAATAAATCCGCAAAAAAAGCACTTAAGATAGTTTTATTCAAGCTATGTATAAATTAAAATATACGATCGTAGCCATGAGGTTGACTGTAGCTGGAAAAATGAAAAAAAAAATCGGTCAAGTGCGAGTCGAATTCACACACGAAGGGTTCCGTACCATCGTACATGTACTTTTTATTAATATGTCATTTACTCTATGTATGTAGTATATTAACTTCGATAATCGATTACGAACGTTAAAAAAATATGTCTTGTATTTTTATTATTATTTGTTGCTATGCCAATAAAATAGAAAAATATAGAAGAAGGCAATAGAAATACATCCTTCAACTTTCTACCTATTACGGTTTATGAGATACATCCCTCTAACAGACGGACGGACAGCGGAGGCGTAATAATAGGATTCCATTTTGCACCTTCGGGTAAGGAACGTTAAAATAAATAAAAAAGAACAATTATAACTTACCCATCTATGACAGGTACAGCAGATGTCTGGCTTGCTCCAGCATCAATAACTAACGCAGTCGACTTTCCATTAGCAAAGGCGGCTAACACTGCATTCTTTACTAGAAAGAAGGCGGGCGCTTGGTATTTCTCAAACAATAACTCGGCCAGCTTCTCCCTGGCCGGCCTAGTAGTCCAAACTGCTTCTGTGAAGAGTGCGGGGTGGTGTTCTGATGGGGATCTTATTACCTGTGGATATATAATTATTATGTTTATTACATAATACTATACTAGTACAGATGCGTCATCCCAATACAAAGAAATTCCACAGCGCTATTTCGGGCTATTCTTCGGGATATTTTTGTTTGCTTGAATAGATAATAGATGACGTTGATTTGCAAATAGTTAAACTGTTTGTTTTATAAATACGTGCAAACTTAGGAATAGTAAATATTGTAAAATCAAAAAAACAAACAGTGATTTTAACCGTTTTTCACCGTCTTAAACAATTCATAAAAAGTAAAAGCGCCATCTGTGAATATACACTACAAACCGATCATCTGATTGCTGATATTTCAATAATCAATAAAATTACTCAAATTTTATTTACGGGCGCTTTTTTCTCTAGATTTAGAATATTTTTTAAAACAATAATATAACTTTTTTTTATTTTTTCTTTTTTTCTTTTTGTTAGTATATTACAACTTTAATAACAAATCGATACATGTACCGTCATCTATTGACATTTATTTAAACTATTTTTTCTTTCGTCTAATGTTTCTTTTTTCGTGATGAGACTCTATGGTTTTATTTAAAAATTAACACTGAATTATTATGAGTAGAGCTTATAAGAAATTATAAAACATATAAGAAGTCCATTTTTAAGGAATAGTGTATTCATAAGGAAAAAGATATAACATGAGACAAAAGTCAAGTTAATTTCTTTCACTTGTTTCGTGGGCAATTAATAATTTGTGTTTTAAGATCATGTTGTTGCTTCTGGAGTCTAAATAATTTAATTTATATTCTAAAGCATGTGATATTTATTTACATACTACCGACTTACCCTCGTTTCGGTTGGTGCGTTCCTAAGTTGGTGTTATTTTAGCAGAAACCCTATTTTTTTCTTAAATAAAAGTAGCCTATATATATACTTATAAGTTATAACATAAGTAATCTTCCAATGAAAAACCCATCAAAATTGGTCCAGTCGTTTCGGAGATTAGCCGGAACAAACAGACAGACAGATAAATATTTTTGTAACTGTTTTTTATTAAAACTTAAAAGTACTGTTATACTTTTACATGTATTTATTAAAAAGCTGTTATTTTAACATTACAAACAAACACTATTATTTATTTATCTGTATAGATAAATAAAGTTTTGAATGTAACTCGGCACACAGTTTTCATTACGTCAATAATGAATCCCAGTAATCTAAATCTCGAAAACTATATTAAAGAGCCGAAATATGGCATTAATACAAAAGTATTGACACATATTATAAATGCTGAACTTAGCATAGATACAGCTTATGGGATGAGACAGGCATAAATTTGTGCATATCAGACATTACCTTTACGTTAGTAACTTATGGAAAATTAAAATAAAGAGATGACAACTTTTATAACATAATATGTATGCATCATCAGCACATAAAACATTAGTTCATTATCCACTACGAGAATTACCTGGTCATGTATGCATGCTATGGTATTACATCCATACTAATATTATAAATGTGAAAGTGTGTTTGTTTGTCCTTCTTTCACGTCTAAACAGAGTTACGGATTGGCTGGAGAATGACAGACTACTTTTTACCGCGGGATAGTTTCTCATTCCCATGGGAAAACACATTAAAATGCAACCCAAAAGATATTTATGATCAGAATTACTTGTTACTTGGTATTAATGCTTTTCAATACAATTAAATAAATACGTGTTTTAGCATTTTTCGGAATTCATCCCATAAGGGGGTAAAATAGTGGATGAAAGTTTGTATCAAAACTACCTTTTAGTTGTTTCTTATATACTTAGCACGAGCGAAGCCGCGGGTTTTGCTAGTTTTTACATAAATTAACAAATAATAACAGAGGCATTCTTTTTGAGCATATTTTTTTTTATTTAAGTCATGATAACTGGTCTGGTGTTGCTACAAGGATGCTGAATGCAAATCTGTTGGAAATAAAATGTTTAATTAAAGAAAATATATAAAAATGTATACTAACCTTAGAGTAACAATAATCCAACATTTTTTCAAATAAATCCCAATTATCCACTTGTCCATCCTTCATATAAGTTTGGACTTCCATATTTGGTCTTGGCACATGCAGCTCTGTGACATCTATGTAATAGCGAAGTTCATCTTTTTTGGATGCTAGAAAATTAAGTCTTGTTAATTTTTTTGAAGTTGGATGCTATTTTGAGTCCTAAGCGGATATTATGAAAAACGCTCACTACACAATAATAGTAAAAAAAGAAAATCTCTCTTTTCAAAATATGAACCTTGCCAATATTTACATATATTTGTCAGACTTGGGCCACAACACAAAGACTGCTAAACAAACTAGAAACCTGTCACAGAAGCATGGAGAAACGCATCCTAAGGTATAGCAGGAACGACAACACTGATATTAGAAAAGTCACAGGGTTTGAGGATGTTATATTGAAAACTAAACGTCTAAAATGGATGTGGGCAGGCCACCTTCTCATTAGGTGGCCTGCCCGGCCAAAATGAGGGAGAAATGGACAAAGAAGACGACGGGATGGACACCTAAGTTCAACACCAAAAGAAAACGTGGCAGCTCAAAAGATGATCAGATGATATCGGGATGGTAGCTGGATCGTTACTGCTCAAGGTGGCAAGAGACATGAGTGGAAGAAGCTAGAGGAGGCATATGTGACAACAGGACACGCTAATGCGGTTACTGCCGTGTTGTTCAAATAATCTAAAAATTCTAATTTATATTAGCAATAAAGGGTTTTGTATTTTTATTTGTATTACTATTTTAACTCGGAATACTCTAAATTATTAGGTACTAGTGATGTAACGAATATACGCATTCGCATTTACAATCGTGAATATTCGCATATTTTTTGCCATTCTCATTCTCATTTGCATTCGTGAATATTTGGATATTTTTGACAATACGTTTGGCTCAGTTTGTAGTGACCCTACTTGCTGTGCAGCGGTTGCGGGTTCGAGTCTCAATGGAAGCATTCATTTGTGGGATGAGCACCAATGTTTGTACTCGTCATGGGTGTTAATATTTATTACATGTATGTATTTAAAGTTATATATGTGTAGCGTATCAACTATCTGATATCCGTAACACAAGCTTCTTAGCTCACCATGGAACTAAATAGTGTTGTAAGTTAATATCCCAAAATATTTATTTATTTATAATATTTTTTTCCATTCGCATTCTCATTTATATTCGTGCAAATTCGCATATTTTTTGCCATTCTCATTTGTATTCTTGAACATTCGCATATTTATGCCATTCGCATTCTCATTTGCAATCGTAAATATTTGGATATTTTTGACGATACGTTTGGCTCAGTTTGTAATAACCCTACTTGCTGTGCCAGCGGCTGTGGGTTCGAGTCCCAATGTAAGCATTCATTTATGGGATGAGCGCGAATGTTTGTACTCCAGTCATGGGTGTTAATATTTATTATATGTATGTATTTAAAGTTATATATGTGTAGCGTATCAACTATCTGATATCCGTGCCACAAGCTTCGTAGCTCACCATGGAACTAAACGATGTTGTAAGTTAATGTCCCAAAAGATTTATTTATTCATAATATTTTTGCCATTCGCTTTCTCATTTATATTCGTGAAAATTCGCATATTTTTAGCCATTCACATTCTCATTTGTATTTTTGATAATTCGCATATTTTTGCCATTCGCATTCTCGTTTGCATTCGTGAATATTTGGATATTTTTGACAATACGTTTGGCTCAGTTTGTCCTGACCGTACTTGCTGTGCCAGCGGTTGCGGGTTCGAGACCAATGGAAGCATTCATTTGTGGGATGATCGCGAATGTTTGTACTCCAGTCATGGGTGTTAATATTTATTATATGTATGTATTTAAAATTATATATGTTGTGTAGCGTATCAACTATCTGATATCCGTAACACAAGCTTCGTATCTCACCATGGAACTAAATGGTGTTGTAAGTTAATGACCCAAAATATTTATTTATATATAATTTTTTTCGCCATTGGCATTCTCACTTATATTCATGAACATTCGCATATTTTTGCCATTCGCTTTTTCATTTGTATTCGTGAAAATTCGCATATTTTTTGCCATTCTCATTTGTAATCGTGAAAATTCGCATATTTTTTGCCATTTGCATTCTCATTTGTATTCGTGAAAATTGGCATATTTTTTACCATTCGCATTCTCATTAGCACTCGTGAAAATTCGCAAATTTTTTACCATTTCTATTTTAATTTGTATTCATGAACAATTGCATATTTTTTGCCATTCGCATTATGATTTGTTTTCGTAAAAATTCGCATATTTTTTCCATTTGTATTCTCATTTGCATTCGTGAACATTCGCATATTTTTTGCCATTCACATTCTCATTTATATTCGTGAAAATTCGCATATTTTTTGCAATTCGCATTCTTATTTTCATTCCTGAATATTCGCATATTTTTTGCCATTCGCATTAGGTTTAAAGACATTTACTTCCAAAAAAGAATATTTCCCCATATTTCTATAAAATATTCTATTATAGACTTAACTAGCATGCTATAAATAATGTTTCTGACTCTAAATGGAATGTAGCTCACCGATCTTTGAAGAGCTTCAGTTAATGAAATTATTTTTGAATGTATAGAGTCTATGTGAGGGCGCCATGTCAAATTTTTATCTAAGATCAAACCTAAATATCTGAAAAATCAAGAGTTGGATGATTTCATTGTTAACTTTAAGTTCTTCATAGGACGGTATAGGTTTGTTTTTAGCTCAAAATATAATAAACAATGTTTTTGAAACATTCATAGGAAGTAAATTATATTGCAGCCATTAATTTAAGACCTTTAAAATTTCATTTGTATTCATGAAAATTCGCATATTTTTCGCCATTTGCATTTGATTTTGCAGGCAACTATGGGAATGTTTTGTGAATGTATTTGATAAACAAAACAGAAATTATGTAATATGGAATGGATGAATAATAACTATGGAATGATAATTATCAACTGATAAGATTTATATTTTTTTATTGATATATAATATTTGAATAAAAAAATGATAATAGAACAATCTCTAGGCCGGCAACTAAATTAGAAACACTGACTCTTCTGTTCTTATTAGTCCAATTAATGAAATATTTAAAAAATCCTTACATTTAAAAAAAATCTCATTCTGAATTATAATATCTTTTGTGAAAAAAGAACTTAAGATGTTTAATCTACTAATTAATAAAAAAATAATTAATAATAATATGTAGGTCTAATAAGTTTTGATGCAATTATGTAAAGATTACTTATTTAGTAGATTATAACTACTATTTTTATATAAAGTTTACAATATCTTTTTACAGAAAACAAAAACAATATTTGAACCAAAATTAAAGTTCTAATATGCAAAATGTTTATATAACCTTTGGCTTCAACTATATATTTTTCCATTCAACTATATATTTTCTTCTAACAATTAAAGATAATATTATGTAATATAAATGTGAAAGTTTAGACTTTTGGATGGGTGTTTGTTACTTGATAATGATAAAATTTGGCATAGAAATATATTATAGTCTTGAATAACTGTTAATGTTTAACTAAACTATTTGTAAATAAGGTTAAGTCAACATTCGCATTCGTGAATATTGGGGTTGAATAATCACATTCGCAAATATGAAAAATCTAACATTTGTTACATCACCAATAGGTACTAAGAATATTTAGCTTGAAAATAAACATTATTAATACTAAACTAAAGCTGTCAATATCAGGCAACAATCAAGCTACACAAGTATCTAATTTTTAATTATCAAAAATATAGTTTTCCCATGGGATAGATTTGTTATTGTTTTTCTAGAGGCAAACCCATGGAAGCGAGAGTGTGCCGCTAGTGAAATATAAATTTTAAAAAACATAATAATGAATAATTAACTAAACTATTTGTAAATATAAAATTCGCATTTGCAAATATGAAAAATCAAGCATTCGTTACATCACTAATAGGTACTAAAGACATTCATCTTGAAATGAAACATTATTTAGAGTAAACTGAAGCTGTCAATATCAAACAACACAAATATCTAACCCTAAACCCATTTCACTTATATATCAAAATATTTTTAAACACAACAAATTTCTAAATATTATATCTTTCTATGCTATATCAACCAATGATAATATTTATTAATATAACATAGTAAGCAAACTATACAATGAATAAACAAGCAATGAACGAAGAATACAGTTTATCAAAAAAGAAACGTCTATAAATAGCGTAATAAGTAACTTGCCGGTTTGCGTAATATTTCCATCTGGTACTTTCTCTTCAGCATCAGGTATGTGTAAGGTACCTGGTCCGACACCAATAACTGCTGGAATGTCAGCTTTAGGAGTATCTTCTTGAGCATAACCAACCCTTAACGAATGATGCCCAGGATCAAACACTAGGGCTCCTATCTCATCGCCGCCATACAACATGCCGTTAGGGCCACTCATTTTATATTAAAATTACGAAAAACTAAATAATTATCGTTTTCATTGATTATTTCGGCGCGCTAAATACTCAATACTGTTTTTAGCATCTTTGAGATTGACCATAGAGTATGTAACTTTTTTAGATTGACAATATATACGAAGATAAAATAAAAAGAAACGTAATCTATAATTCATTTTAAAATATTATTTTATTGTTTAAATTTTACTAACTAGACTTTTAAAATGTTGTTATTTTTAATATATTTAGAAACGAAAATTACGAATTTTTCTATATAAATCTAAATAAATCAGATTATGATCATATCCTTCATAAATACGTTCGTCGTACTACGGAACGCTATTGTCATAGATAATGTAATATTTTTAGCTATTGCTTATGGCATAAACAAGCATTGATTTTGTGATACAAATGCCCTGTTTTCCAATTAGAGCACTGAAGCGCATTGTGATTTGTGCGTCATAATGTTAACTTCGAATGCTCCAACTACAGCAACGCTTCGCACAATCGAGCATTTTGGCGTGATGCTCGAAAAGATTTATGTATTACCAATTCAGTAGCAGAAAAAAGAAGTGTTTTTTCTTCAAAGTGGCATTGATCAAAATAAAATTTTACAATTATTGTTACTATTATTATTGTCTATTGTTGAACTAATTTGTAAATCTTTCGACGTAGCCTGTTAAATTGTAACAAAGTTAATTTATACTATGTTCGAAAATATATATAAGAATGTATGAAGTTTCAAGGAGACATTCATTATAATTTTATTTACATTATCGTTAATAATAATATTTGTTTATAATTTATTTTGTATTATTCTATATTTATTTAATAATATTTATTATATAATTTATGTGTATTTATTAGTATTATTACATATCTGTTAGATAGTATTCTTTTTTCAACACACTGAACCTAGAGCCCTGTGCTGGTGCACTTGAAAACTAATTCACGTTCCTATTAAACATTAGCACACTTCGGTATTGTGCATCAAAGTGCGGCATTATGCTCTGTAATTAGAAAACAGGGCTAGTTTTGAAAATTGAAAAATTAAGTGATAAATTATTCATTATTAGTAAAAATTATGTATCGGACTGCTATTATAAATGCAAAAGTGTTTACGTGTTTGCTCCTTCACGCTGAAACTGTTGTGGGCCAAAGTGCGGCATTATGCTCTGTAATTGGAAAATAGGGAATGAATATTAAAACTGGCTACAGATAAAACAATATTTTATGTAAATGTAAATATTTTCACTATTTCTTTTAAAATACCAAGAGGTAGATAAAAATTTAAAAATAATTAAATTACTTAAGCAAATTACAAATGTACTTAAAATTCATTATATAGTTAATACATACATATGTATCCCGAAAACATTAGGAAAAAGTTAAGAGTTGCAACAATTAGCTCTTGCATCTCATTTAGAAATGATACATTTTAAAAAAATATTTCAGTAAAAAAAGTTTTGATGAAGGACCAAAAATAAAACAATAAATTTTTCTTTACACAAATATTTATTACAACACGAATGTTTTATGTGACATGTGAACATACAGATACTACACACCAATAACTTATTTCAAAATTATTCTACACATTAAACAGACAACACATAAGACCTACAAAATATTATTTGATTTTCATGAGAAATAAACTACTTTTAAAAGCTTTATATGAATATACTTCGTAGACATTTTGAATAAATCCAGCTAGGCAAATCTAATATGGTAGCCCTAACAAGGAATTTCCCATTAAGAAAAAAACATATTAAAAGTAGTTTCATTTTCAAAATTACTAACTCCATTATATTATGTATTGTACAGAATATAGATAATATGGTATAAATATAGATAAAATGGTAGTACAATAATTATATGTTCATGGTTTTAAATGCATCAAATAAAAAAAAATTTAATTAATCTTTTAAAAAAATGTCTCAAGTTTTCACATAAATAAAAAAAAACTATTGAGATATACATACATTAAATAAAGGTAACAACTATAAACAATAATAGTGAATTTTATTAATTACATAAATGCTTTGAATTTGATACTAAAGCTTTAAAAAAAAATTGATTACAAAAATGTCAGACTTTAATTGTAAAGTCGTAAAAATTGTTTTTTGTATAAAGATACACTTTATTAATAAATTTAAAAAGGAAAGTGTTTCTGGTAATTTTTACAAAAAAAAACACTTATGTGTTATTAGAATAGTAGCTACGACATTTTGCATGAATGCATTTTTAAATTTTGTGGTTTTAATTGTTAATAATATTAAGTATACAGATAATAAATAAATTCTATATGAATTGATTGTGCCTTTTAGAAAACATTTAGGAACTTTATGCTGGAGGTTTCATGTACATCAAAATGTAGTATAAAATACAGTAAGAAATTATACACCATAAAAGAAGGTATATTTTCATTATCTACCACATAGTACATACGCCGATTATATATTATCTAATTTACACTTAATATATTTAATAAGTAAATATTTAAATTTACACTTTTCGTGTTAATTTCAAATTAAAAAAGCGTTAATCAAAAAAAATAACTCATACTCATTATAAATATATTTATAATAAAGTTAATAAAAGTACCTATTATATATAAAAATATTTAATAACCTAATATAATAGTAGAATAAGAAAAGACAACATTTTTACAGATAAAACATATACAAAAGGACAAAGATCTATCCAAATAAAAAAAACAAATTCAAACCCATAGGGTACCTATAGAAAAAAAATCTCTAGTAATTCATATTTCATATCCAATCTAGTAGGTATCTACCCTACACTGACAATGACTAAATACAGTGAAACTACACTAAAAACTAACTCTCCATATGCCATAATATGATAATATACCATGTACTTACTTTATTTTAAGCATTTTCCACATTTGCGCGCTATGTGCATATAAATGACACTCCAAATCAGTCTTACAAACAATTCCGAGGCCCCCAAATTGTTTACAACTATGTTAGCCCACGGTTTTGCTCACATTTCTTACTAATTTATAAAAGTAGCTTCATCATTCAGAAGATTAGGTACCTTTATCAATGTACAGACATAACCTTTGCTTTTACAATTATTTAAACATTACTTTAGAGTATATAATCTATTTAAAATTATCTATAAATTAAATTTAATAAAAAATAAAGCTTAGTGGTACTTAATAGAGATTTTTGCCTCGGGCAGGAATTGAGCCTGTGACCTCCGCTCATTAAGTAAACTGCAGTCTACTTACTACCTTATATAACCGTTTCGTTTTTTCAATTTTAAGCTGTAAACTGACGATTCATGTATGAAAAGATATTTAAATATAATATTTGTAATCTACGACAGAGTATAATATTATATTACTTAGGACATAGAAAGTACAAATATAGTAAGTACTATATTATATATAAATATAGATAATTAAGGCCGTATAAATATTCATAGGGAAGCGTCAAAAATAGATCCCTATTCTAAACCTGTGGCATTTTTTTTTGTTTCATACAAATAATACCGACTAACCGAAACTTGTTATATTTTCTTCTGAGCAGTAGAAAATACTATTAATTTTATGTATGAATGTACATACTATATCCATATGTACAAATGATTAGTGAGAGACAGATGTTTGGAAAAAGAGAAAAATATATTAAACAATAAATATTATGAAATGGTAACTATCATTGTGCATGTAAGTTATTGCAAGAATAGTTGATAATATGATCCATACATATTTATTGACTTATAGTCATATTGCTCTCAATTTTCATAGTTAGAACTTATTGTATTCAATTATTAGAGAGGAAGACTTAGAGCGTGGAAAGAGAGACAGATACTTTGTACAATAGATATTAAGAAATTCTCATATACGAGTCTAAGTAACTGTATGATTATTACATATCCCTCGCATTAAAAATATATTGAACAGTTACGGCAGTTATTGTTAACAACCAAATATGAGAAACAACCACGATTTAAATAAAAATTTCGGTTATCTATATTATTAATAATTATGTACAGATTCAATATATACACAGAATAATCAGTAATTATACATATTTTATTTATATATTAGGTATGTAGACATTATCTAAAAGTCAGTTATAATATTATAGGAAATAGTTAAAAAGTGTGCCAAAAATAGTATTTATATACATTATTATCAATTTTATCAAAGAACCTTTCTGAATTAAAGACCCCATTCTTAAGTAAAAGGGAAAAAAGCAAAAGAAAATGCTTTTCATTCAAAAAAAAGGTCGAAAGGAATTCAAAGTACAGATTCTAGAAAAGTGCTGACTCTTATGTATTAAAAAGAATTAAGGAATTTTAAATAACCTAAAAACCAATAATTTTCTCTAAGCATTGTTTTCCCCAAATTTATATAAACAAAAAAAAAGAACAAATAAAAACTCTTTCTTTTAAAAGTCGTTTACAAAAAGGGCAATTGTTTCAGTATTTAGTGCCCATCGTACTCTAGAAAAAAATTCAAAGTCGCCAACCATATATCAGCTGTTCATATCATAAGTACATTTACTTCTTAATATTATCTTCAAATACATTTCACCCAAGAGTTACCAATTATTTTATCTAACTCAATTGACTAGAATCCAGCTCTAAAATTTTCCCAGAACTTTCGAATAACAACCTCCTTGCTTCATTATCAGGCATATCCAAATGACACCCAATTAAAACATCAACCCACATTTCTAAATTGCCTAATCTTTACTGAACCTGGCATCCTACATTGATGGCACTAAATAGAGGTGCAGCTCCTAGGCCTCCGTCCCCATCACTCATACCCGCGAGGTACTTCGCCCCCGTACAGTCGTCACAAGTGCAACTATCTGTAAGGGTGCAGAGGCCCCGGGATGTTGCTATCGCCTCCCATTTTATTTGTTCGTCCAGAGTTCCGGAACGACGTAGGAGATTCTGTTGGAGAACAAAAATTAAAACAGCTTCGAGTTAAATCAAAATTTAGTGCTATGGGTATAATTTCTTAAAAAATATCTCATGTCATTTAAGACATAATCTAGCTTTCTATTAATGAAAAAATGATCGAAAACGGATAAATACAAGTAATTCCGAAAACTCATAGTTTTACGTCTGTACGAGTATAATAATAATAATAATATTTATTATACACGTGGCCCCGAAAAGTATAACCTTCATTGTTGTATGGCAATGAACGAATGAACAAAGTGGGTATTTTTGCAACACATAAAATTTTAAAGATTTAAAACTTTATATATGTAGATATATAATGCTTCTGTATGTGTGTTTGTTAACCTACTCCACCTTTAGGACTGGACCAATTTGGATGAAATTTTGTGTGAATATTTCATTGGGTTCCTGGATGGTTTGAAAATACAAATGGACCCAGTAGGTGGCGCTGCAATCGGTGTGCCACTGATCATCTCCTAAACGGCAGGGACGATTTTAATGATATTTTTTGTGTATGTTCGAGTGGGTCCCTGCAAGGTTTGAATTCACAAATGGATCCGGTAGGTGGCGATGCAGTCGGTGTGTCACTAAATTCTCATAAGACTCCATTTTCTTATATATATATTAAAATATATCTCATAAATAAATTTAAATTGTTGATTAAATAAAATAATAATTGATGTGTGTATGTATGTTTCCTATGGACTCCAAAACAGCTGGAGTGATTTTGAAGAAAATTTTAAGTAATCTTCAGATGAACCCAGCGGGTGGGTGATCCTGTAAATTTTGTAAGCGATCGGAAGTTTGGACGCGGGCGAAGCCGCGGGTACCGCTAAAATAATATATAAATCGTATGCATAAATCATAGGGGAACTGTCAGTGGTTAATAATAATTAATTGAAATTTTCAGAATGTTCGTAGTAAGAATAATGTTTATTTAGTATAAATTTTATCTAATGGTCTTCATAGGATAAAAATCCTCTATCCGTCTCCAGAATGCTGTTTGCTCAAATTACATCAGTTAGCATTTTTAGCATTGAAATATATAAAACAGACTTACGTAATAACAATATTTCATACTTTTAAAGATAAAAAAGTATACTGATTTCAGTCACTATTTGACTAATAAACTAATATTCGCCACACTTAAAGTATGATATGCGTATATGCAACGTAAGTTTTGAAAGCTTATGATGCTTTCATTAAAAGTTTTGCTAAACACCTCCTTTGTAGCAGTCGGTTTAATGTGTAGTGATACGATGCAGAAAATTAACCTTTACTTTGTTAACTAGACATTTCGAACCGAAGAAGCTCGAATTAGGGCCAATTTTACCATACTTTACTCTTGTATTCAGCCTTTTTAACATCCTACTGCTGGGCACGGGCCTCCCTTCAATTCGAAAGAGATTAGGTCATAGTCCACCAAGCTGGCGACCAAGTGCGACTTGACGGACTACACTTGTCTTTCGAAAACATGCTAGGTTCTCTTAGACATGCAGGTTTCCTCACGATGTTTTCCTTCATCGTAAGACAAGTGCTAATCATGTTGGAAATAATTCGCACAGAGGAGCGAGATCCGGGATTTGAATCCGCTTCACTCGGTTTCTCAAACAGGCTCGTTATCACTGCGCTACCACTCTAATATTAAACTATTAAACGTAATCAACTGCCTCATTAGTTAATGTCTAGCATGAGATTAAAATTCAGACCTTGGGTCAAGATCCTCATTGGATCTATTCGAAATAATTGAGATTTTCTGTCCAGATATTCTCAACCGGAATTGGAAAGCGCATTGTCACACACGTACCCAAAATGTGGAGTATATAACTTTAAGAGTGAAACACGAAACCTTTACAATTTAACGGGAATTTTATAAAAAAAGAAAAAGAAAGGAATAGAGAGTGCACTTGGGTCGAAGCACGCACTTCACTATATTATCTTTTGCGCAATTCCCTAGTCTCAGTGCGATTGGCTACCGTGACCAAAATCGAATAATTAAAACAGAGTTTTCGTCAATATCTGTTATGTTGAGTCGTTAATGTTTTTGATCTATCTAATAGCCTAATATATTGGTAACGAAAAAAAGTACGCTTATATCATGATCATGAGCATAATTTCACAGTCATTTTAGACTAGAATCCTTTAAAAATATAGTGAAATTGGCCCATTACCTATAAAATTGCCCGAAACCCTCTGCAAGAGAAGACTTAACCTAAGAGAATGTGAAACAAAAAGAACTTACCTGCATAACTTCCACGTTGCTAGCTTGCCACATATCGAAATCGGTCAGCTGTTGTTCCTTAGACCGACTCTTCTTTGGTTTTTTCAACATTGCACAGTACATTGATATGTCTTCACTAGGCGCTATGGACGGATCGTCGAACTGAATGGAGTTAGCATCGTACGATGTAGAGGCATCGTCCTCAATCGTCAAAGTTTTGTCTGGTTCGTCGTAAATTTGCATTTCGTCTAAATCCTCCAACGTCATTGTGGATGTACCGGTTGATTCGTTTTGCAGATTTTGGTATATAATCTAGTATGGTAGGAAAATTAAAACAGACACTTTGTTATATTAGGTATCAATATAAAGGTAATAATTTAATTTAAAATAATACCAATTTTATACTAATCGTTTGAAGTATATCAGTCAGTAACATCAGTTTTTATTACTTCAAACCTAAATGGGATAGCATTCGTGAAATTTTAAGTGTAATGGTTGATACCTAGACTTATCATATAATTCGATAAATGACCTAGAACAGTGATCGGTATACCATCCATTTTTAGCTTTAGATTTTTGCTACCCAATATGCCTAATGTCAATATTAAACAGTCCTCACAATTACCTGTTGCTCTGCAATCTTACTGCTCAAACTCGCCCGTTGCGACGCCGAGTCGTCACCGATAAACTATAAGGAAATTATTGGTACCTAAACTTTTTTAATTCTATAGGTAACGAACTAAAATAATATCGACATAACTCTATACAATACACTGCATACATTTTTGTTACATTAAATTTCGTTTTACCATCGTCAGAGCCCGTATTGCTAGTACCTATATATAGGTGGCATTTTAACATTTAGGTGACCCCTAGCTGTCGGTGAAACAGAAACTGTCCCCTAAAACAGCCCCCTAACCATGCTTAGGGGATCCCTTAAACTTAGATGACGTTGGTGAAATCAGCCACAATTATTACATAGAAACAAATAAATCGTTTATCCATATACCCTAGCAATATCAGAAACACGATAGTTTTTACGGATGCAGAACGAAATACTTTTAATGTTACTTAATGTAACTTTTTACTAAATTTTACGGATGTTATTATAGATACAGAGTAACGAATCTATAATTTTTTGAATTTTTGCCCGTCTGTCAGTCTGGGAACGCATCATAAGAAAACCACTGAACAGATTTTGAGGTATGATGATAACTGGTTATCCAGGTCAACATATACGATAATTTTTACTGCAGGAAAATATCCCATCTCTGAGGAATCCACACTAAACGTTCGAGGGACGAACCTGAGTGGAACGAGCGTGAGTCGCTAATCTATATTAATACTACCAGAACCGGCAGCTTCACTCGCGCTAAAACTACAACAAAATCTATAAAAAGGTAGGATTCATACAAACTTTCATCCCCAATTTTACCCCTTATGCGATGAATTTCGAAAAATGCTGAAACACGTATTTATTTAATTGTATTGAAAAGCATTAATTCCAAGTTTCAAGAAATTCTGATAATAAATATTTTTTGAGTTGTATTATAACGTGTTTTCCCGTGGGAATAGATAATCTCCCGCGGTAAAAAGTAACCTATGTCACTCTCCAGCCCTCCAACTATTTCCACACAAAAAATCACGCCAATACGTCATTCCGTTTCGACGTGAAAGAAAGACAGACAAACAGACAAACAAACAAACAAACAAACAAACATACAAACAAACAAACAAACACACTTTCACATTTATAATATTATATAAGTATGGATTATAAAGGTAAACTTTGTGAGTTTGTGAAAGTGTAAGTTTGTGACGTTGTAGGGAGTACCTAATCTCTGGATCTACGAAACCGTTTATGTGAAATTTGGTAAGAAGATAGTTTGAGACCCTGGGAAGGCCATAGGATACTTTTTATCCCGGAAATCATCCCTTAAGGGAATGAAAATGGGGATGAAAGTTTGTATTGGGAATTAAGCTAGGGACGAAACCGAGCGAAGCGAGGGTGAGTCGCTAGTTATTTATATAGATAGAAGATACACAAGAAAATACTTGAGATATTTTAATACCTATCAACAAAGAGCTTTTATGCATAAAATAATAATAGATCAATATATTTCAAATTATATTTTCTATAAAATAAAATGAAACCTCTAAGACTATGATGCTTGTATAACGTGTCATAATATATTCACAAAAGCTTTACACGATGAAATTGTATGAATTCCGTAATTTTCTATACTTGACGCTCGACTTATCGGGTTAACGAGAGCTTTTGACTTTCACGTTTGATGTGTGACCTTTATTTCATGACTAGCAGATCCCGCGGCTACGCTCGTACTAAAACTGCAATAACAAAACTCTAAAATTGTAGGTTTCGTACAAACTTGTTGAATTTCAAAAAATGCTAAATCACGTATTTATTTAATTATATTGAAGAGCATTTATTTATACCACTTTCAAGTAATTCTGATCATAATTTTTTTTTTTTGAATTGTATTATAACGTGTTTTCCCGTGGGAATTAGATCTCCCGCGGAATAAACACTCTCCAGCCCTCCAACTATCTCCAACACAAAACCAACACAAAAACTCAGGCCAATCCGTCTCTCCGTTTCGACGTGAAAGAAGGACAAACAAACAAACAAACATTCTATCTATACATATTATAAAATTGTAACTAAGCCAAATCTGTACATTATAAATTTTTTGGAAAATCTTATTGAAATAAACATTATTATCGATATAAAGGCCGAATCTATAGTTTTTAGAATTTTTGTGTCTGTCTGTCTGTCTGTTACCGCATCACAGAAAAACCACTGGACGGATTTTGATGAAATTTGGTATGGTGAAAGCTGGTTATCCGGGTCGACATATAGGATACTTTTTATCACGGGAAAATATCTTATTTCTGAGAAAAAATGCAAGAACTGCAATGTAAAAGTACACTAATCTGTAAAACCTAAGAATTATGCATTTATTATGAATGCTAGTAAACTATAAGTGTGGGAAATTTCATAATCCTCCATCCGCGCAATTTTAGTAAAAAGTTTTTGCTTCACATATTAATATATAAATAACACTATTATTATAAATGTGAAAGTTTGTAGTGTGTGCCTTTGGTCTTCACGGTGAAATGGTTAGACGAATTTGGATGAATTTTAGTTTACGTATACATTACGACCTGAAGTAACATATATGTACCTAAGGACGTTGTTGAGCGAAGCTAGGGTAAGTCAGTAGTTCTATGATATAATGTATATTTAACCGATTCAAAAACAAAAGTTCTCAATTCAGCTAAGTTCTTTTTGTTGCTTTCTGCAAGATGATCGTGACATTGAAATCAGAAGAGAACACTCCACTCACAAGGGTGGAATTCTTGCACACTTTTCTCATTGGTATTAAATATAAACGGGATTAAGATTTAGAATTACGTGTAAACAGGTTCCATCGGAAACCTAAACAAACTTGCTCTTTATCTTTATAGGGAACCTCACAAAGTTTATTAACAACAACAAATAAGAATAAAAATTAGAACTGCTACATAAAACAACGTTTATTATTTAACGTTATATTACTATGCCTAAAAAATAAAAATAAAACATAGACAACAAAACATATAATTAAAAAACGGGTCAAGTGTGAATGGGACAAGCGTTAGGAGTTTCAATCGCTATTTCTGAACCCCTAAACACAATAACTATATTGTTTAAGTACTATCACAGCTTATATAAGACCAAAGAACTATCTCTATGTATTTAAAAAACTAAAAAAACTCACATTACTACTACTACTATATTATACATTATTATACTCTATTGTACGCCTACTGTATTGTATAGAAATTGTCAAAACTTGTTTAAACTTGAAAGTTATACTAGGACCTATTAATAACCAACTAACCTACTGGCTCCGTCATGAGGAGCTACCAGATTTTTGTATCGTTGTCTCGATCTCATATAATTACATTGCAACATAAGAAACGACCAGGCACGATACGTGATGAACCCCGTGAGGAAACCTGCCTGTCTGAGAGAACCTAACAAGTTTCGGAAGACATGCTCAGTTCGCCCGCACTTGACCGGCGTGGTCGACTATGGCTTGATCCCTCTAGAATTGAGAAAAACCCACTCCCAGCTGTGGGAAATAAGACGGTTCTTACCTCTTCGTCGTCATCCTCGATATTTAACACGGAAAATATGTCTAACGCTGACATATCATGGGCCATGATCCCTTTACTTGTCGATGGTACTGGAGAGTCTGGTGTGTTAACTAAAAAGGAAAAGATACTTCTTTAAAATGTACTTTTAAATCAAGAACCAAATGTGACTCGCACGCTGAGGGTTCCGGTTACGTTTCAACGTACGTAATGTGTTACGTTAAAATTAAAATAAATGTTACCCATCTGCAAAATTCATTTTATTGACGGAATAAATAATTTTATACTTCATATTGTTTCTATGATAAAATCAAAGTTAAATTTGCTAAACTAATAACGCGTTAAACCGAAAATATCTCACATTTTACAAAACTACTCAACCATCTTCTTCAAGAAATAATTTTTTTTTTCAAAGATAAAGATAGATAATTTGGCGGTGTATGAATTGCCACCCCTATTTTTAGTACCCCTATTTTTATGCTTGCATATAAGTGCATTCTCTCTTCCTTTCACTCCCAAGCTCCAGTGGGACGACAATTCGACACTATCGGAGAGAAATCAGCTATAAGACGGATATTCTTACGACCTCTACCTCGGCATAGAAGTAGCATCGTCAACTTGCCAACTCCACCTTGTTACTGAGAATTTCTTCTAACGATCTACTTAACCTGATCAGGGACCCTAACCCAGGACCGATTCAACCGATCAACGATTTTATAGTATTAAAAGGATATTAGTCAGTAGTAGCCCAGTGGTAAGGCACTTGCTCGGGAAATCAAGTGAAACGGGTTCAAATCTTGGGTCTCGCACCACTTATATTTTCATTTGTGAATCATATCCAACATGATTACCACTTTTCTGACGGTAAATAAAAACATCACGAGGAAACCTAGCAAATGGTCGAAAGACACGAAGTTCACCAACACGTAATTGGACTATGGCCTTAACTTCCTCATATTGAAAAGAGGCCAGTGCTCAGCTGTGGGACATTAAAAAGGGCTGAATACAAAAGGATATAATACCGTGAGTATTAATTACCGTGATCAGAGCTTGTGCTGCTTTGTAGTAGATTTTCCGTCGAAGGTTGTTCAGTATTGTCCCTACTTCTCGCCTTGAATATACCAAATTTAGTTGGAGCCATATCCTTAAACAAATTTCAATGAAAAGATTTTTATTATATATATATATATATATATATATATATAATATATATATATATATATATATATATTATTGAACAATTATAAAAGAAAAGCTGGCAAGACTACGGTTCTTACGTCGCCACGATTTAAATGTATGGATCTTGACGAAATAAGACGAAAAGTAAGAATAACATTTTTCGATTAAGAAGTTTTCGAAACATCGATAATCAAAAATCGAGAAATGAAAATTTTATTTTTTACTTTTTTTGACGAAATTCATTTATTATTATTTCAGTAAAATAAATATCTCGAAAACTAAGCGAGATATCCAAAAATATTATTCTTACTTTTCGTCTTATTTCGTCGACAGATGTCGACGTGTCGCGTAGATACGCACACAAATCCGTATTTAAATCGTGGCATCACGTCGTAAGAACCGTAGAATCCCCGAAAAGCTCTCCTCATTGCAACATTATCAATATCGTACAAAAATTATAAACATATTATATTAATTATTAGGTTAATATTATTTGCAGTGTATCATATAAGTATTTAGTTTTTACTTGAGAAAAAAAATTAAATAAACGACAAAACTGATAGCATGTGAATTAAAAAATATAATTATAATACTTATTTGTGTACCTATACTAATTATGTATTTTATTGTAAATTCGAAACATTTTAAACTTACCAAAGTAATAATTGTAATAAATATTTTACATCGAATGCCCAATAATGTCTGTATATTTACAAAACTATATTCACATTACTTTTCACTTTATTAAAGAAAATTTCTAAAATACGCCAATAAGAATATATTTTTGTTCCCAAAATCAGTGAATGTAGTCGAAAAACTGTTTTTTAAGAGTATAGCGTTAGCATCAATAACACTGTCATGTCCGTCTCAATGACACACACTGAAAAAGTCTTTTACAGGACGCAGTTTCATTTTCGATTCAATCACAGATTATATACTACGAAAAATTAAATAATTCCGCGTATCTTTTAAAGGTTTTCTTTCTTTATAACATAAACATAAATTACGCGTAAATATTGTAAATTTTAATTTATTTGAAATAGACATTTAATAATAATTGTAATGTTATCGTTATCAAGCCAACCGTGCCATTAAAAAAGCTTTAAGAAACTTTTTAGTTTCGAATATTATTTTTAATAATTATATATGTATTATGTTATTTAATTAATTATAATATCTATATTTTGTTACAGTGCTAAATTTGTTTTATATAGTTGAATATTTACTTCCTTTCCTTCCTAGTTATAAGGGCTAAATATTTAATCTATCTATTAAAGTTATAATGAGATTTATTATAAAAGTAAAACAGAAAGTAATCTTAAATTTCTTTAAATAGTCACTGATTTTTATAGAAAAACAATCAACAATAACATTTTCCATCTAATGTCCTGGAATCTGACGATTAAAAAGAACCTTTTCGGGGTAAGCTTCAAAGTTGCGCGCGCAGTGTGTTTGTAATCTATTTATCTTCGATTACACTGTACAGCAAATTCATAACTTAAAAAACAGACAGAAATTTAGACTTGAGAAATTCACCGTGCGGGAGACAATATCCTACCATTTAATTTATAGAACGATGTGACCATTCAATTATGCATATTTTTAATAATAAATACTACGAAAATTAGCCTGTTATTAATAATGTTTAAGGCGATGTTATTTTAAAAAGTTCGGAGAGAGAGACTATTTGACCCAAACCATCTGTTTTTGTTGTTTGTTTCCGTCCGTCTGTCTGTCTGTTTGTTCCAGCTAATCTCTGAAACAGCTGGACTGATTTTGACGGGGCTTTTCCTAGCAGATAAATGATGTTATAAGGAGTAACTTGGGTTACTTTTATTTTAGAAAAAGAATTAGGGTTCTGCTCAAGAACGTAGGGACGGAAGTCGCTAGTATAATAATATAATTCACTAGCTTTCAAGAAAGCGCCATCTATCCACTATTCCGGCGAAACAAAATAGCTTGTAAACCATATGACCTACCTATACCTATAACCTAACCTATTTTATAAGGGTGAGTCGCTAGTATTATTTAGTTTCCAGGTATATGATTTCATTTGATGACAACAAAAATTTGAATTATTTTTATTAACTAAGTATCTAAATTCATTATTAAAGTTACTTTATTTCATAAATCCCTAAAGCCCATAAAATGTTCCCTTTTGTTTTACGGAATATTATACAGCTTATAAAAGATTAAATTAAAACTAAAAATTTCTTGATGATAATCAGATTCTTATTTTAGAGGATGTAAGTATAAAATTTTATTTTTCTTTTTATTTAATAGGTATAAGGTTTTATATATAAGAACATATCAAAATAAATTCGAAAAAAATCCGAAAATGTAGTTTAATAAGAAGAAAATAGCATTATAACACTATTAGTAAAAACTTAATAAAAATTATAAATTGAGAACAATACTTACGTATCAGTAGATTGGCTTATTCTAGCTTGATGAGCTATTTTTAACCAACTTACAGAAAGAAGGAGGTTCTATATTTGTCTGTATAATACATAGTTTGTTATTTTTGTTCTCATCTATACATATAATAAAATTATATATAAGCCGAATCTGTAGATTAGATATTTTTTGGAAAATCTTATTGAAATAAACATTATTATCGATACAGAGGTCGAATCTATAGTTTTTAGAATTTTTGTTTGTCTATCTATCTGTCTGTTATCGCATCACAGAAAAACCACTGGAGGGATTTTGATGAAATTTGGTATGGTGATAGCTGATTATCCGGGTCGACATATAAGATACTTTTTATCGCGGGAAAATATCTTATTTCTAAGAAAAAATGCAAGAACTGCAATGTAAGAGTATACTAATCTGTAAAACCTAAGAATTTGGTTTTTAGTCATCTGAACGCGGGCGGAGCCGCGGGCAATGCTAGTAGTCCGATAAGAATGGTTAAATAAAACAATTAATCAAAGAACCAGTGCTTCGGTTACAATGCTTTATTTCTACAATATTAATTAACACAAAAATAAAATGGAACATTAAGTCGTACTTGAAATCACCAAAAATATTTTCCACCCAGCCCGAAATACATTTTTGGGATTTAAAAGATATATAGATAAAAAGAATAGTAATTGACTAGAATTTAGACGGATGTACATTCGATTGACTAGATTTTCGATCGACTTTTGATAACATTTAATATATTTGGAAATCTTAAAACAATTTAAGCTTTTAAGAAATAAAAGTTATAACGTATAAGATCTTAATCTAAATTTGGCATATTAGTTTTGGCGGGAAAGTTTATCAAAACGAATACAGATAAAATAAACAGATATTTACATTTTTATAAGTACTATGCCTATTTTTATATTTAGGGTTAAATTAATAATAAACTAACTGGGTCATTGTTTAAATCGGATATTGTAAATGTCCATTTTACTTGTAGCCAAGGTTTTTAAACATGTCGTCGTTGAGAGTGTGCTCGAAGAACGGCATTTCTCTAAAGATGACGGACGCGTCGGCTACATGCATTTGCCTTTTGCCATATCTGAAAAAAATATATAAGTGTTCTTATTGTTTGTTACATTTACAAAGTAAAAATTAGAAAAAATATAGCTAGGACAATAAATATTGGTTATTAATAACGAAATAAATTTTAGATAATTTAAGAAAATCTATTTTATAATTATCGCATCAAAAACATAAATGTGAAAATGGGAGCCAAGTTCAATATTAAGAATATGCGTGCTTGTCAACTTCACCGACAAAAGAATTGAAATCTAAATGGGTGCCAAGTTCTATAGATTAACCTGCATTTTTTTAAAATAACAAACAACATTCTAAAATAAAGTTAAAACACAATTTCTTGTATTTTTCTGCTACAAAAGTGTTTGCTATTTAAAAATAGATTTTCTTAAATTTGAACAGTTGAATTATTTACACAGAGTAGATAAATTGAAGTCCAAGATATGACTTGACTAGTTTTTACTAGTTTTAGTAGTAAGTTTTTGGAAGACTGAGACACGTTGACCGTACAATATAAAAACAGTAACTTGCGTATAGCATAAAGAAGATAATAATAAGTGATTAATCGAATATAAGATAACTTGTATATAAAAACTAGCCAAGTCAAATCTTGAACTTCAATTTATCCTAAGTTATCTACTATTAAATAATTTAGTTTAATTTTGAGATTGACATTTGAGATGATGTTACTGAGATTTGAGCCTACAATACAATAATTAATTAAGAAATAATAATTTAAAAAACTAAACCAACACGCTTTTATAGCAAAAAAATCAAAACAGTAAAAATATGTTTTTAGTGATTAACGAGACAAATTAGGTTATTGTCAAAAAGCGTGGGGCGCTCGATATCAATTGTTATAAATATTCCATTGGTACGATTTCTAAAAGTAGAGTTAGTATAAAAATATTGTACAAAGCACCCCACGCTTTTATCACAATAACATTATTTATCTCTCATGTTACGACTAATTGTATGTAACAATTTTTATAAAATTGTATAAATTAGATGCAAAAGCTGTGATAATCTACTAAAAATGGCGCCCAATATGGGAGTCACTATGGTTAAATAATTAAAACTCTGTAATATTTATATGTAATGAGCAGTCGTTCTTCAATTCACCATCATCTTAACAAAGCCAATTGTAGATATACCAGGTGCTAAGAAGATTATACAATAATATCCTCCTAATCGATTTATGTAACGGCGGCTATCCGCATATAAACTAACTATGCGGGAGACATTACTGCGTGTATTGGCACAAATTCAGAATTGGGGACTTGGCCCCTAGCGGAGTGGGTGGTATTTCTGGATAAGGGACGTGATAGGGAGTCGAAATATTAAATAAAAATTGTCCGCGAACGTATGAGTAAAAAGTTATTGAGACTTAAAGTTACAACATTTCCATACATTTTCATATATTTCTTTACCACCATTCGGAGTGGGTGGTATTTTTAGATAGGGGAGGTGACAGAGAGTCAAAATATATTAAAAATATTTGGAGGAAACGTACGAGTAAAAAGTTATTGAGACTTAAAGTTATAACATATCTAACACATTTCCATACATTTCTTTACCTAAATAAGTGATTACAACAGATAAACATACCTTTAACGAATAGTACGCATCCTTTTTTATGTACATTACACATTTTCACAACAATTAATGCTTTATTGTATTTAATATTTTAATAATTTCACAACACAAACAAAATGATCTTACATTTTGACAAAAGCAAAACTGACACTTTGTTTTATATTACCGCTTAAATGACAACAGATTATATTTGATTATTTTTGCTTTTTCTGTTGGTAAAATATTAATATTAATAAATAAATAAATAAAAAGAAAAATATTATTTTCATTTCATAAATACATTTATGATTTTTTATCTGATTTATGTAAAATATATTGTTTTACAATTGTACATTTAGTAAAAAAACATTTTTTTATCTGTGAATATTTTTCAGTATTATTGGCGGGTGTTCTTAAAATACCGCGAAGTTTCATAATTTGTGACTCTGTACTCTGTGTATTTTCCATTAGTTATTAGTTTTTGTTAATTTTTATATACTTTCGTTTCTTGTTTTTGTTTTAATATTATTTTTATAGTTTTAAGTGTTCATAGTGTTAGTGTAAACAATTTATAAACGTGAGTAGACTATTTTTAAAATCTAAATGTATTATTTACTTTTGGTTTTTATTTTGCGACATCGTGGTTAGTTTAAGACATAGGTTATTTATTTATTATTCGTCATATCTTGGTTAGGTTAGGTTAGAACATTTAAGATTATTTATTTATTATTCCTCATATCTGGGTTAGGTTAGGTTAGAACATTTAAGATTATTTATTTATTATTCCTCATATCTGGGTTAGGTTAGGTTAGAACAGTTGCCACATTATTGCCATAAATGACTAGAAAACTAGAAAATTCGAATTTCACGCAAAGTACAAATAAAGACAATCATCTGGAGATCATTTTGACAATTGAAAGTGACGTTTTGACTCCAAGTGTCTAAATGGTAGTAATGTCAAAATAATGTATGGAAATGTTGTAACTTTAAGTCTCAATAACTTTTTACTCATACGTTCGCGGACAATTTTTATTTAACATTTCGACTCCCTATCACGTCCCTTATCCAGAAATACCACTCACTCCGCTAGGGGCCAAGTCCCCAATTCTAAACGGCCGCCCGTGTATTATATTGTATGCTCAGACACAAATACACTCTTTATTTCTTTCACGTGACACGATCAGTAAGAGATAATGCGCAGACCCGACAGCTTTACGTGATCTTCGAGGGACATGAATGTATCACTGCTGATATTTTGGCCCGATCTAGGACTCAATCCGAGGACCTCTCGATTTGCAACCGTACATACTATTCACTAGACCACTACACCAACGAACCCGAATTATAAAACGACATAATATAATAATCAGTGTGATTACTATTGTATTATAAATGCGAAAGTGTATATGCATGTATATGGGATAAAATTTAATATACAGATGGAATAACTAAATTTCATCTACTTCGACATCATCGAGTTACTCCAAGGCTACAGTAAGTAATACAATTAGCCAAAAGATGGCGTCACCTGTAAATAATATTACAAATAGGTACAAAAGGCATCTAGGGACGTTTGATTAGAAACAAAAATCTTACCGTCCACGTCCATGTACGGAATAGTATTCTTGTAGCTCCTTCAAATAGTTGGAGATCTGTTCCGCTGTGTCAAACCGTTCAGGGCGACGCGGGCGCGGGTACTGCGCTTGCGTCGCGCACGACAAGATGGCGGACAGCAACAAAATGGCGGACAAAATCGCACGCATGGCTGGAATAAATGTTATTTGAGTATGTAATAATTATGAAAAACCAGATTTATTACCTACTGTCAATATAGTCGTTGAGCGAGGGTAAGCCACTAGTTTTAAATAAAGATCCCATCTATAAGTATATGTCGATGCAAAGACCAACGGACTAAGAAAAACAGTTAAATACCTGTTTCTATTTTAAATAAAACTATCTTTTCGGATTATTTCGCGGATTTATTTTGATTTTTGGTTCCCGACGTTTAGAATGCTTTACAGCATCCATGGTCACGGGAGAGACTGAGGCGTTTCATGTCTTGTAGGTATAGTTGTTACAGACAGCCTACCCACAATTAACGAAATGAAAATTGCAAAAATTACCTTACAATATTTTTTAACTTTAAACATTTTTATAATTTTAATTAGTTTTATAATTGAATATGGACTATTATTTATTTAATTTTTACTGTTATTATAATTATTACAATTTAAAAAATATTAATTCGTAATCTATATTTAGTGTTGCCATTATTATATTTATAACCATAAAGAAAAATATAAAATATAGTATTAATTATTTAAGCCATATAATTGTTCTTTCTATGTGTAATTTAAAAAGTTAAAATTAATTAAGGATAATAATTTTAATTTAGTTTGGTATTATTTAAAAAGACAACTTACTAAGCAACACTATTACTATATACTTTTACAAATGAAAAATGAAAAATATTAATCTGATATACTGTCTTTTGATCAACACAGTAAGAACTTACCGTCGGGAACCAAAAATCAGAATAAATCCGCGAAATAATCCGAAATGATAGTTTTATTTAAAATGTCAAATATTCGCGTAAATCTAAGTAAGTATTGTATACCTGTTTCTACTTTGTGGTTAACGGATTTTCTTTTGACCTAGTTATCAATAAAAAAAAGTTTTTTGAATTCATTGATTATGGTCGAAATCCTTTTTTTTTGTATGTTGGGAAATTAACACACAGCACCATCAAGTTCCATGGTAAGCTACGAGGCCTGTCTATGAATACCAGATTGTTGATACCCTACACATATATACTCGTAACTTCACTGCCTCGGTGGTGTAGTGGCCCGCATGTACGGCTGCACACTCGGAGGTCCTGGGTTCGAGTCCCGGGTCGGGCCAAGTTTAGTTATTGAGTCTTTCCGTATACTAAAGTCTCAGTAACAGCCCGGAGTTTAGAAGTTGGCGGTGTTACACCCCCGTACCTCGGAGAGCACGTAAAGCCGTCGGTCCTGCGCCTTAACTCTCACTGGTCGTGTCGAGCAGTCGTCCCACGGGCGGAGTATGAGAGTGACAGGAATAGAGAGTGCACTTGTGTCTGCGCGTACACTTGTGCGCTATAATATCTCCTGCGCAGTTGGCTAGTCTCAATGAGATTAGCCGCCGTAGCCGGAATCGGCTAGGAGAACATCATCGTCATACTCGTAACTTTAAATACATAGGTAATTATTATAAATATAATTTTGACCATTAGGTGAACACTACCTAGTTATAATAAATGAAAAAGTATTAGCTACTTGTTCCCTTTTCACGCAAAACAAGGGGCAATAGAGCAATTAGATATTTTGAAAAAAAAAACTATAAATATTTTGTCGGAAAGTGACATAGCCTACTTTGTACTGGCATTAGGTGAGAGCGTAGCGATTGTTAATACTGTATATTTTGTTATGTAATACTCACGAGTGTTATATATTTAATAATAAGACGAAAAATAGGTCTAACATCGATTATACAATTAAAAAGTAATCTGGGGATTTGATCATTTGACAGATAACGTTAATGTATGCGTATACGATGATTTCATAATGGATAGAAATCTATATCTATATTGTATAAAATTGCTTAGTGATTCATAAGCCTCTATTGAATAGACAGAATTAAAGTTCTAACAAATGAAAAATATATTTTTTTAACGAAAAATGGACTCTGATGACCAGAGTCACTTTAAAAGTAATAGCTTACTAAGCAACTTTTTCTTATATTTACGCGAATATTTCATATTTGAATTACTGTTATTCTGATTGTAAAAACTAGGTATATACCTTTGTGAAGTCTAAAATCTTATATGATTGCTGCAATGCATTCGAAATGACGCATAGGGAACCAAAAATCTAAATAAATCAGCGAAAAAATCTGAAACGATAGTTTTATTTATAAATTCAATTAACGCTATTATGATTTCTGACAGTTTCAGTAAAACACATTTTTTATTACATTCTTTTACATATTTCAATATTTAGTTGGAAAATTGTACCTTTACTAAATCAATTTATTAAAACTCTCAAACACTTTCTAATCTCGAGTCAATATTTTATTTAATTAGCATATTTAATGGACGGTATTTGAAATTGAATAATATGAATGAATCCATTTATCCCATGAATATTATAAACGCGAAAGTTTGAATCGATGGATGTTTGTTACTCAATCACGCCAGAACGGCTTAATGGATCTGGTTGAAATTTGGCACAGAGATAGATTATAGTCTGGTCTGGATAGTTAGTGAGTTTATTTGTTACTTCTTTATGGTTTCTGAACTTTCAGCCCAGACCCCGGCCTAAGCCTTTAAAATTTTTAAGGCTTTCATAGTCAATGTTCGTCTGTCCGTCTGTTAGTCTGTATGTTATCACAGTCATTTTACTTTAAGACCATTGGAGTTACATTGCTGAAATTTAGCTAAGGAACACTGTGTATGCCCGTCAGGCACGCATTTGTATTAAAATTTGAAGTAACTAATAGGATACTTATTACAGTATATATAAGTACATATAATGAAACAGTAACTTTGCGAAATCGAGCACGTTTCACGCAAAATTACTGGACCGATATATTTACTAAATAAATTTTGTGTAATGATAACTTATTGCTCGGGTCAACATTTAGGATACCTTTTACTACAAGAAAATCTTTCATTCCCACGGCAAAACACAATAACTGGTTCTATCGAGTCGTCCTTACAAGTCTAAATCTCAAGAGATACATCAAAACAATGTACTAGAAAATTGTAGGTCTTAAAAAGGCCTACAGAAAATCCGTGATAGCATGTGTCTATGTGTATTCTAAAATACTCTCAGAATAATATCTAATTAAAACGTATGTATCCAAAGCGAGGGTAAGTCGTCAGTAAAAGATACAGCTATTTACAGGAAACAATTATGCCGATAGATAGATTTATCAATAGAACCTTGCAATAGGATTTCGAGTGAATTCTTAATTGAAACAGTAAAAAATACTTTCTTTTTTTATTTTTTCGTAAAAAAATTTAGATAGAGCTAGTAATCCTTTGAAACGCGCCATGGTTTAAGTTTTAAATTATTTTATTTTGATTTGACCAATATCTCTATAATACGCTTCAGCTTCAATTCAACTTTATTAATAATAATCAGGAAATAAATATCTTAAAAACAAAAAAATAAAACCGATTTCCAAACAAAAAAACCGGTTAATAAACAAAAAAGTAAAAAAAAAACTTCAAGAGAATTTTCATTTACTAATTAGTTATCTAATCAGATATTTTCGAAGTGGGTGCAAAGTAGCAAATAATATATATACATTCGAACATAAAACCGCTTTCCTCCTTTTTGGAAGTCGGTTAGAAAATATTTTTGCAGCAAATGTGCAAAACTAATAATTATTTAAACAAAAAGTTACAAAAACAAAACAAAACAATAGAAGTCGAACTTGTAAAATATAATCTTCAATTTAAAGAAAATCGGTTGACAAACAGAGGAAAAAAAGGGTTTTGTCTCTACCTATTTATATATAGATATTCCTAAACTCGAGAGATGTATTGAAGAGTCCCACTATCCACTTCCTGACTCCAGATCAGACCAGCTCGATGGTAACAAATTATAGCATTTTCATCCAAAGTTCACACATTATTTTCTCACTTATTTATATCATACTAAGTCCCAAATGGATATGATAATTAGATGTTATCGACTTAAAAATTTGTAAATATAGTTAGTTTTAACTTTCAAATAAAGCTCATAAAAGTTTGCTAAAAAAGCAATATTTTCTAAAATTAACTCTACCCGTGCAAGAACAGATTTACGACGCAATAATGGCAGTGTATTATTGAATGCTATCGGAAAAAATATTATTTATTGCATCCAATTTATAGATTATTAATATTGTATAAGGAGTAAATTATTTATTGCTGTTATATGGTACAGTAGAAGTCTTTTATTTAGGGCCACAGGTTTAGAGTTCAAGCAGATTGCTTTAGAACTGCCTATTCGAACACATTTCATGTCATTTCATAAGAATTTTTTTTAGTAATTAATTAATTTTTGTAATTTTTAAATTATACTACCACTGATAGAGAAACGCAAATGTTAAATAAATTTTAAATAAAACTATCTTCTTGGGTCTGTCGCGGATTTATTTTAATTTTTGGTTTGCTGGTTTGGCAACGAAAAAGAAAAGACAGTTTTATTTAAAACGTCAAATATTTGCCTACATCTAAGGAAGTATTATAAAAGGCACGTGGCCTTGTATATGCGTATAATGCATGGTATACTACTAGTTTTATTTAAATAATCTACCCTTTTATAACTTTGTGGAATTACATTTTATCATCGCCAATTAAATCGTTACACAGTGTATGTTTGAACTCCTCTTAGACATAAGATATTTATGGCATCGAAGGCAAACTAATTTGCGTAATGCATTATTTTAAAGTGGTTATAAAGTTTACTACTCGTTAACTGGTGTATTAGATTTTAGAAAGGCTTTGTTACACTGACATCTATAAGGGTAGAAAAGAAAAGACTAATTTTGGATCGCAACTCCGCTCGTATATTTTTTCATGTTTATTTGTTTGTGAAGATTGTAGCGTGATTTTTGATAGACTATAAACTTTTCTCAATAAATAGAATATGAAATGTATGATGAGACAAAATACCTACATATTATAAAAAACAAATATCATTATAATATTAATAAAGATGTACTGAAACTTTCGGTCTTCTCATACTTTTTCTCATTCATGTTTTCCATATGATTACACACACCACAGATAAAAAATAAATTTTCTATCTATACCTACATATAATAAAATTCTAACTAATTCGAATCTGTTCATTAAATATCGTTTGGAAAATCTGATTGAAATTGTCATTATTATCGATACAAAGGCCGAGTCCATAGTTTTTACAATTTTTGTCTGACCGTCTGTCTATCTTTAGGAATATATATATAGTTTATCTTTTTACTGCAGGAAAATTCGACATTCCTGAGAAATATATACTAACCGTTAAAACGTATCAAGAGACGAACCCGAGCTGAGCGAGGGTGAGTCGCTAGTATTTTAATAACAGTCGGTTTATATTCTTAAGGTAGACAGTTTTTTAATATAATTAGACAGCTCTTGAGATCTAATAAGAAACGCCCTATAATATTAGGCGTTTTCTCATTAGAGGTCAAGTCTTTTATTTTAGACTAGCGGCTCACCCTCGCTTTGCTCGGGTTGGTCCCTAGGTACGTTTTAAATAGATATAAATACTTATTAGCCAGCGTTAGCAATATAAATTTTAATTTTTATAGTTCCGTACCTCAAAAAGTAAAAAAGGAACCTTATAAGATCACTCTCTTGTCTGTCCGTGTGTCACCATCAATTTTCTCAGGAACGGGTAAGCCTAGCAAGTTGAAATTATACCAGATACTCAGATATACCTATATAAAAATCAAGGGCCTGAGTGAACACGATAAAAAGATATGGACAAATTTAAATTTTCGCGAAAACTTGTAAGTACCATACCTTAATTTTCAACTTTTTTTATTTTTCGGATTTTTCCCTTTACTTGTGCTGTAATAAGACTTTGCTTTAACCAAAATTGACAATTCTTGGTCAACCGGAAGTACCCTTTATTAGGTTTTATCGGTCCAGCCGTTCTTGAGTTATAAATGGTGTAACTCACCCGAGTTTGTTTTATATATACATACAGATTGACAAAACTCGACATCTGTCAATTTCGAAAAGTTAGTATAGTCTTCGAGTTCACACAAAAATTCTAGATAAAAAACGCTTTTGAGTTTCAACATTTTTTCTCACATTTTTCAATTTTCCAAAAATAGCCAAATCGATTCAGTCTTCCTCAAGTACCGCACTTACCAACTAGATAACCGCATTTCATTTTTACTCATACTAGTGTTTGCCCAGTGGTCAAAACCCGACCATAATCATTCTTGACAATTTGAGGGAAAACATATTATATGAATAGAACTTGCCCATCTATGTACTTATATACAAAAAACTACCTGATTCCAAAATTTTTTTAATAATAACTATACCAAATTTCCTTTCCAACTAAACCCAAGAAGATTATATAGATAGGTAAAGACAAAAAAGTTTTTCTTCTCTGATTGTCAATCATTTGTTTTTTTTAGTAGCTAACAAGATAAACAAGCTAAAGCTAAGTGTTATCAATAAAAAAATAATTACGGTCGAATTTCAACCATTGGCCGATATCATACATACATATCTTTCTTCCCATACATATCTTTCTTCCCATACATATCTTTCTTCCCAATATTTATTATCTCGCAATATGACTTGAAAGATGAGTCTCTAACATTTTATATTTATTTTTCTTATGATTCATAAAAACAAAACTAAGTGCGTAAACAAGTTTTAATTTAAATTTAAGCAAATAAAACAAAAATAAGAAATTTCATGAAATATTGTACCAAAATATTTTCCAAATATATATATTTCACTATTCAATTAATCCCTATTACAGGGGAACGTGGAAAATGTTAAAAAAATGTTTTCCTTTCATCCTCTAGCAACAATATGGTATTCTAAACTCGTATTTTCCCTTCCATAAATAAAGGCAAATTACGAGCCTATAGTGATGTACGTTTGATTTTCAACCGACTTTAGAAATGAGGTATTCAAATAGTCTCTTTTCACAAGCTTTTTTGACTGCTAGTATACAAGTTGCCCCTTTCAAAACTTGTAAATCATTTTTCAACCACTTTTTGGTATCCAATTGAACTAAAATTTGTTATGCTATGGTACCTAAGTGTAATAGGGTTACTAAGAAACGAGAGTATCAAATAACAACATCAATGAATCGGTAAGAAAGTATATCATCAATTATGAAAAACGTTATTTCCATCGCAACTGAACCAACATGTAAAATGTCAAATCTGTAGATTATGAGGAAGTGGTTCTAATTCAGCTTGCAAAATTTGACCCATACAAACATACCAAATAACAAATATTGCAAGATAAATAAAAGATCATCAACATCACACATCACACAAAAGATAACAAAATTGAAAAACACTTTTTTTATCGATTCTAATAATACCTATATAGGACTCGTTAAAATGTATCAAATGATATGATGAGCCCAAGCCCCGAAGGATTACTAGAAGCCATTAAAGAGTTCTACTATCAACCTCCTGGCTCCATCAGCATGGTTACGAATTATTGTGGGTTAAAATCGATTTTACATACTTAGTTATAAAGTAAGCTGATAAAAAAGTGTTAAAAAGTAACACAAAAGCTTACAGATATAGAGACTTACAGTGTTTAATCGATATTGTTTCTATCACGATATGAATAATTTTCTAAACAAAAGATTCATTATGGGCGTGGGATCGAATACTGCGTCGGTCATTATTCGCTTCACTTAATTTCAATATAGTATTGGAATTATGCAAAGGTGTAGCAATTTTCTTTCAATCGGGATAAAATTGTAGTTTTTAACTTTCTTTACCCGACTACGGCGAAGTCCAAAATGAGGGTTATGTGTTTACGGGACATATATTAGGGCACAACATCGCACAACGTGTCAACGTTAAAGTAAAAGTCTTCATCTTAGTGCTTATTTGTTTAAACGAATAATACTTCTTGTACTTTACAGTAGAGAGTTTTTTCTTCTATTTAAAAACAAAGCTTTTTTCCAAGATCTACAGGTGTACATATATAGATAAAATACATCTTTTCGGTTTTTTAAGTAAAATATGTATTTAATACCAATGAAATTGATATTTAAAAATCAATAATTCTGTATTTAAATCACTTTCGGTAAATTGGTTATTTGGACAAATAAGCATTGAAACGTCGAAGTTCAATCTCTATTCCCTTCACTCTCAAAGTCCGATGAGACTATTTCAGAACGATCTGTGAGAAATAAGGCGCAGGATCTACATACGTGCTCTGCCTCGACAAGCCTGTGGAATAACGCCAAGTTTTAACTCTAGACTGCTACTAATAAAACTCAGTAACTATTTTGGCCTGACTCGGCACTTGAACCCACGACCCATCCGCTTACACGCTAGCACAGACAATACAACCTAATATATTGACTGTGCACGCTAGCTAGCTATTTGCTGCCACTAGACAAAGGAGGCTATAATAGTCACCCAATTTAAGATTACTCTACGTACTGCATTTGAGAAGATAAAAAGCCTAAGGCACATAGAATTTAACGGGCCAAGTAAAGGGTAATTAAAGATTTCGATAATTAATTAGATATGTTTAAGCTTTATGTTAGATCAAACGCTTCATACGTAAACAAAATCGTAAAAGAGCTTTGGTTAAGACAGTTAAGTTTAATCGATATTTTAATGTGACTTTGCCCCTATTTAACTGTTCTTAAAAAATTAAATGGTTCTCGGCTGCTAAACATGTAATTTCAAATAATCTGTACAGATAAATTAAATCGAAGTGTATGTCTGTAATGTTGACATAACAGCTTTTTACTAAATGCTATGAAAAAATTAAATACGGTACTAATAAGAAAAACACAACTTTAAAAACATCTCTGAAATGGTAGGACCGATTTTAACGGGACTTTCACTTACGGATAGCTTAATTTATAAGGAGTAACTTAGGCTACTTCTATTTTACAAATAGAGTTGGGGTTCTCGCAAATAAATTAAAACGGGACACACCCGCGCAAAACGAGCGTAAATCGTTAGTCTATACTAAAATTATAAAGAGGTAAAGTTTGTGAATTGTGAGTGTGTGACGTTGTAGGGGGTAATCTCTGAATCTACTGAATCGATTTAGATGAAATTTGGTAAGAAGATAGTTTGAGACGCCAGAAAGGATATAGAATACTTTTTATCCCGGAAATCATTCGTTAAGGCGGGTGAAAATGGGGATGAAAGTTTGAATGGGGAAGCAAAGTAATCGTAAATAAAATTATAGAATTTTATGTTTCGAAAAGTTTGAAATCACCACATATTATAAATTAAGAACCCTCCTGCGCTGAGTTCAGAAACTACTTTACGAAATTTCAAACGACTTTCACTTATAGAAAGAGGGATCTAAGGAGATACTGGTATGTAGGTATGTTATTATTGAATTATTTTTATTTAGATGATTTCGGCGAATAATTATATATTATGATAAACACTCTTACCTGACAGACGTTTTCCTGTCCAATTTTCAATAAAATCGCTTGAGATCTGTAAATTTAAACAAAAGTTATCTACAAAAAAAAACCCCCGACTGCAAGCGAAGTAAAAAGAAGGGAACAAGTATACGAAAGAACAAAGTATGTAGATACTATGAAGTAGGAGACATACACACACGCAGATATTATAAAACATTTAACACGTATGTCTCCGACTTTATAATATAATTTCTTTTAATTTTTTTGTAAATTTTTTTTATCCACAGCTTTTTAGTTTTGGTCAGTTAGACATTTTTAGTTTTGTTTAATAATTTCTTATCCTACAAACTTTTAAACATAGAAGTTGTCAATATTTTTATAATCGTCTCTTAAAAACCTGCACTTTAATACCCCACTCGATTGATTCGGACGATTTTCTTTTTTAAGACACACAAATTGGTGCCTAGAACCCGCCATTTTGATTTGTAATAATAGCTTTATATCCTATGACACCCGCGTTATCAAGACGAATCAAATGACGTATGAATCATCAAAATAGGTTAAGCCGTTTAGTAATTACGAGGAAACATAGGTTCGGACATACATACATACATATATATTACATAGATCAAACACATTAATCTTCTTTTGGACTTCACTGCTGTCGGGTTAATCCTATAGGAAAAGCACTATAAGTATTTTTCGTATTATACGGACAATTTCCACGAGCATTACAATATTTTGGGCTCATTTGATTCTCATTTATTTTGTGAGTCAAATATGGCGAGCATTATACTGGTAGGTACAGAGTCAGCTGTTGAATAACACCATATAGTTTTTTTTCTTAAATAGTCAGAAATAATTAATTGGAGCGGAAATTGAACTCGCTACTGACATAACAGTCCATTAATAGGAACGTTACTAAGATGCTTTATTATTTAAATTATCCCTAAAGAAATCATATTTTTTCTAAATATTTCATAAAGTATATAATAATATTCATTTCTAATTAACAAGTTTATAATAGTCTTAGTAATTTGAATTTGAAGTTTGAGTCTAAAGTGTTACCAGTCAAAGGTATTCTCGGCGCGTCGCATATTGTTTTCACGGCTGGCAACACTATAATATGAAACGTGAGTGAAATGGCGGGAACATGTCTTTTGCATAATATACATTCCTTTAGAAAATGCGAGGCTATGTAAATTAGATGGAAAGTTTAAATAAAGGTATATTAAAACTCATGACTTCACTCGTATATTTTTATACCTACAGGCAATATTTATGTCCCAATTGCATAAAAGGTCACTATTTCGGTATTTTAACGACCTTAAAAAGGAAGAGGTTTTCAATTATGTTGTACGTTTTTGTATATTATAAGTAGAGTAATAGATTGTAAGTAAGTCACTAAGTGAGTAAAATATAAATTTTGCTATAGAATGTAAAATTACAGTCAGTGTACATTTTTTATTTTAAAAAAATTGGACAAGTCTGGCTCGCACAGCGACCCTCGGAGCCACCGGAGCATAAAACTGAATGCATTATCAAACATGATTGACGTCATACATCATCCCTTAAGGGGGTGAAAAGAGGGATGAAAGTTTGTATGGGGAATCAGTCATTTCTCAAGTAAGGGATATAAAACATATCATATCTATCTTAATGCTTTACAGTAATCATGACCGTCCCCCACGACCATGATTGCTGTAAAGCATTCGAAACGTCGGGAACCTAAAATCAAAATAAATCCGCGAAAAAATCCTAAAAGATAGTTTTATTTAAAATGTCAGTATAGGTAACTCCAATAGTCTCTGAATAAAACAACTGTGTCATACGGATAGACGGACATGATGAAATTATGAAGGTTCCCTTATTCCGACAAAAACATATTTTAGAAAGGCTTTTAGGGTCCGCTGTGTAAGTAGCATATCGTAAAGTAATAAATAAATCTCGAATAGGACAAAGTCCTTTACAAAAAGCCTTTAAAGACACCCTTAACATATAAAAATATTAAGTATTTAATATTTATTATTTAAAAAAAACTACACCGACATCAAAATCGATATAAAAGTAATAATTCTTTATTGAAACTGAAAAATTTTAAACGTATCTATTCGTGAAAAAGGCTCATGAACACGTCCGTTCCGTCTAACGAAACAATATATTTGTGTTATTGATTTACCAATTAAATATGGCCCTACAATTAGGAACCTACTCGTGGATGCCTCTTGTGTGATAACAATTTTCATAACAGTAGTTGCTGTATTCCAGGACATAATAGTTTATGTGTTTACTAAATTTCATCTATGTCAGGTCAGCCGTTTCTACATGAAGTGCAATTATATATATATATATATATATATATATATATATATATATATATATATATATATATGATATACATACATTATAAATTTATATATTTTTTTATTGTACTTTTAGTTGGTTCGATTACCTGTTGAGGTAAGCTATTTTTATGAAAATTAATGCAGTTATTATATATTCAGCCCGTTTTAACTTCCCACGGCTAGGCACGGGGCTCCCTTCAATAGAAGGGGAATTAGGCCATAGTCCACCACGCTGGCCAAGTGCGGGTTGGCGGACTTCACATATCTTTCGAAAACTTGCTAAGTTCTCTCAGACATGCAGGTTATACTTTAATATTTAAGATACTTTTCTTCTATGTCCCGTCCATTTGTTCCACAGTGAATAATACCCACCCTTTGCGCTCTATCTCAAGAACAGTAGATCGAACGAAACATTGCGAAATTTAAACTTCAGAGAATTTTATGCTGTACAACTTATAAAAACTAATAAGTACCTACGTAATAATCTTCTTAGAAAAAATTTGAACCAATTCATTTCAAACAAGCTTTCTCATAAAATAGTTAAATCATTCCCAACAATGGCTTTGTTATTTACGAATATAATAAAGATTTATTACGTGTTTTTGTTAGGCATATGGAAAAATTATTAAATTCTATTTTATGTAACAAGCAGTCGATTAAGTAGAATAATTTAGAAAACTCGATTGTGTAAAAAACTACTAACTGGAAAAAGAAAATAACTGGCTTAAATAAAATATTATATTCTAACTTTTCCACTCGCGTTTTTTAGTTTGTATATTTGTTAAAGCGAAATATATATAGTATAAATACTACAAACTAGACATATCGATTTTATATATTTTAAATAAACCTATTTTTGCGGATTTTTTGGCGGATTTATTTATTTTGACTTTTGGGTTCCCGACGTTTCAAATATTTCACGGCAGTCATGGTCACGGGACGGAATAAAGTATTACCTACAAAAGTTTTTTAATATTTTTAGAGTCAAAATTTATATAATTATATTTCCAAAAAGGTATACCGACTTTAAAACCATTTATAAAAGTTTATTCCACCCCTAATGATGACAGGCGTGGAATGTTTTCTAGAAAATTTATATGATCAAAATAAGTGGAGACACGCGTACCTATACACAAAAAATATACGATCACTCCTATTTTTAAAGTCGGTCAAAAGTGCTAGCTGCCTTATTCGGATACAGTGAAGGATAAAATATTGTATAATAATTATTAAAAAATAAAAATTGGTCAAAACTCCAGCTAATTCGGTATAAAGTACACCACTACGTCACTCGACGTCAAAAATGACATTTCGTAATGACAAAGAATGCTTTATTTATAGAAATAAATTAGAAGATATTTTAAGAGATCAGCGATCCACGCTTATAATAGAGTGACAAATTCACACATACATCTATAATAGACACCATCTATCGTATGCATCAGAAACAGTTTTTTTTTCTATTTTTCAATGTTACCAAAATTAGCTAATAAGAATGTCCTTCTGATCGATACAGGTCACAACGCCCATTTTCACTAAATCTATCTGTGCGTAGAAGATATTATAGTGCAACGCAACGCAACGCTTGTACGCTCAGACAAAAATGCTCTCTCTATTCCTGTGACACGACAATTCGACTCGATCGGTGAGAAATCAGAAGCAGTACGACGGCTTTACATACTCTCCGAGGCACGGGGTGAAACACGGTCAACTTCCCAATTCCGAGCCGTTATAAGAATTTAATAACAGAAAAACCTAAGAACTACACTTGTACCGATCCGGGAGTCGAACCCAGGAACCCCGGAGTCTACAGCCGACCTAGCCACTAGATATTAAGCTAATAAAGGAGCACATTAAAAATTTTAGACTTACATATTTCTATATAAATTAAATATCAGATATTATTATAATTCTTACGCTTAGTTTAGGAATAACATGAATCGCTTGAAACCAAAATTATTATAATTTGTAAGAGTGAGGGTTACGATTTTTTCATATAAAAACAATAGGTACGATACTCAGATTGCTGACTACGCCGCTAATTTGATAATTATATTTCGTTGTTTGATTAAAAATAGGTCAAGTGGGAGCGGAATTTGCAATGCTCTGTAACACAAGATAACGCAATTAGCGTTACCTATTCATAATTCTGTCTATCTGTTTGTTTGTCACGTTTTTACGACTAAACCGCTGAACCAATTTTGATGAGTTTAGGTATAGAGATAGATTGAACTAATAAATTAATACAATAGGAGATGATTCCAATTATATTTACCGAGCTGTCCTAAAAAAGTCTTTCCTAAATTTATACGAAACTCCTTTGCTTTGCTTCAAGAGAAATAAATATGAGTTTTGGTATTATATTATATTTATAACGAACAGACTAAAGAGAAGTTATTATTTTGATATGAAGTCATCAAGTGAAGCGAAGGCACATCGTAATATTATCATTATTGATAAAAATATATTTTTTAATAATATGTATAGGTATAATGTTCTCTATGACACTCATTCTATGAAATTCAGTATAATGACGTATGAATCCGCCGTTTAAGTATTACGAGAGAACATAGGATCAGACTAACATGTTGGATACAGGTCAAACACAATAACTCTCGTTTGAATTTGGCCGCAGTCGGGTAGAAATACAAAAGAATGGAGTATCACCCATTTTTGAAGTCGGTCAAAGTAAGCACATATATTCGAATAAACTGTGAGCCTAACGGGATCTAACGTCTGTCAGCTTAGAAATGGAATATATTCGTATTTTCACCTTTCTTATTTACCGACATAAGGAAAAAAGTACTCAATTCGTCTGTACTTTTATGTAGATATATCTTTACCAATATCGATTTTCATAATTTTAAATAAATATCTTTTCGGATTTATTCGCGGATTTATTTTGATTTTTGGTTCCCGACGTTGCTTAGCTTTACAGCATTCATGGTCACGGGTACCATATCGTATCGGGTATCATGTGGTATCGGGGTCACTAAGTTTTTAGTCGTCTCAAAGATTAATTTATTGTAGTTATAAACAATATCTACCCGAAAAATCTGAAAAGATTATAATTGTCAGTAATATGAAATAATGATGAGTAAGTTAAACCTCAAAGGACTTATGGGACCACCCCTATAAATAAAAAAAAAACCGTTAAAGTCATGTGAAGTCCGCTAACCCGCACTTTTCCAGCATGGTAAACTATGCCATTTTCCCCCTCGTATTGGGTGTAAAATGTGAAATTCGTAGCTTACCTACACAACAATTTTACGTTAAAAGTTTCAAATCTATACAACAATTAGTACTATATTCAAATCGATTTCGAACATTTTATTACTTAGTTATTTACAAATTAAGCTAATAAAAGTATGCTTCTATAAATAAAGGAATTTTCATCTTAGTCTAAAAAAATATGATAGAAATCTTAATAATTCAAAAGGGATCTGTGACAAAATATCATAAATTGTTTTCATAATTCAAAAGTACGGAAAAAATTCAATAAATTTCGAGATTAATCTTTTGTTGGTCTTTTGTATATTTTACTTTCGGGATCATTTTTCTT